ATTCTTGAAAATCTATTGGCTGTCGATATCTCATATCGTTTTAGGATGGGCGTGGGTATAAATACAAAGTGAACTGGTTATTCGTCAGTTTTTTGTGGATTTTCGTGGTGATTTGCTAAACTGCGTATGTATAGGTTCAGAGTGCTATGGAAAAATATGGTGAGATGGTTTAACTTTGAAGGTAAATCACGGTTGGTGAAACCTATACTGCTAGTAAAATTGGCATCAAAGAAAGGAATACTAATTTTTTTGATTTCACTGCGCTATTGAAAAACGAAATATTTTTCATTTGGCTTCAGTCACTTATCCCATAAATTCTTGTGCTTCTGATCATTTTGACCTCAAAATGTTTAACAATCTCCCAGAAGAATTGAAGTATATACATTTAAACATGAGTTAAAAACCTTTCTGATAGAAAAATGTTTTTATAGTATATGTGATTTCATAAAATGTTATTAATTGTGTGTGATGTGAATTTCAGTGTTGGTGATGTAAATTTATACTTTATTTTAATGTACTAGTTTACCTGCCAATCGACAATTCCAATACATGTAAGCCATATCGAAAAATGGAAATAAATATTGATCGATTTGAAGACAATTAAATATTAGAATAATGAAATGAGATTTTAATGGCCTTTCTGAATCGAATTTTCACCTACCATAATCTTTAAACATTATATATTGTAACTAAGAACTTTATACAGCTGTTAAAATGGAAAACTTGTAATTTCCTGAAAACTTACTGAGAAAATTCAGTGTATTTTCCCACAGGAAAATGTTATGTAACCTACTAAAAAATATATAATTGTTTTTTTTCATTCCATTTCCAAAATGTTCAGGATATGAATTAATTTATTTTTGTTTTTTTTTATTGGTCAAAATTATTAAATACGATGAATAACATATTCTTCATTTAGAAAAATAAATTAAATATAGGTAGTGATTTATCGACTTTTCTGTTTAAAGTGTTCCTTTACAATTTTTTATTTTTCCAGATTATGGACGATGAAAATTTTGAAAAAATGAAACTGAAGTAACGTATCATTGAAATATTTATTTTTCCCAAAATTTTATAGAACATTTTTGACAACATGGTTCAAGTTTAAATAAATCATCATCCACAGTTTTTATTTGAGACTACACAAGTTTATATAGAGTTTCCATATCAATACACCTCATGGTTTATTATTAATTTGTTGACAATTTTCTAAAATGATATCAAATATTGAAGTTTCAAATATATTAATCTGGAATCGATAACTTTTTGGTATTTTATAATTCGTAAATTTCAGGCCTTTTTTGTACCGATATATAAATCGAGACATTTATACTCTGAATCATTATCGTGTAAAAAATTTCAAAACTTCAGAGATACAATTTTTTATGTTACTGTGAAAAAATAAAGTTACGTATCAAAACTACATTACTTCATCAGCCATAAATTTGAAAATCCAAACAAATGAATCAACTACAAGGTGGCTTAACGAAAATTATATTAACCGCTATCCGTCCTTTTTATTTAAAATCGACTACAAATCATCAAAAAGCTTATGAAATCCCTGATAAACTATCTATGTGAAAATATGAGACACAATAAATGGATATTGTATACTCATCTTCAATTTTATGAAACGCTTTTGCAGTTTATTATTGTAAGAATCAAATGGTTTCAAAATCAGCAAAATAAAAGTTTTGGTATAATTTTCCTGAAATTCAGGAAAAAGGGTTGAGAATTTCTGATGCTGTGAAAGTTGTTCTGATTGTCATTAAAGATATTATGATTCTCAAGATAGGACTAGAGGTATATTTTCAGTCATTTTCCATCGATTTTCAAAATGGTCGATGGAAGAAAGACGGGGAAATTGGACGGCTAAGTAGTATTTTACACAGGTATAACGTATAATCACCAGAATTTTCAAACAGTTAGGAATCACACGTTAAAAGGTAAGACCTCGTTAGTCCTTAGATCGCACAAGTTTCTCAACTTCTGAGAGTTGTCGTTCGTATGGGGGCGGCTGCTGATTAACGGAAAAACAGATTTTAAAACAGATATGTCGTTTGAAATCAATCATTAGTCCAAAGGTCTAACGCTTCCCCTCTTGCAAAATTAATATATCTTGACTGCATTACAGAAAAAATCAACTAACGCAATTTTGAGCAACTATTAAGAAAATAATGCATAGAAGTAGATAAAATGATAAATGTAATTTTTGTGGACGCCTGCCGCGACAATATGGGTCCTCCCTGAAACAAGATTTCACATACGCCACTCTTTTGGGTCCGTTAAAGAATATCGTTCCGAGCTAAGCTTTCGGAACCCCCGAATGCAACTCTTTCAACGCTTTTCTAAATTTTCATACCCTTCATTTATTCCGTCATATAATTTACAACTCACACGGTTTTTTCTCGTATTTGTGGAAAGATATATCAACAGGTACACACTAACAGAGATAAGATAATCCTATCTTTCGCGTCAAATGGTATTTTCACATTCACTCCTGTGGCTGATGTTTGTCGAAAAGCTAGATCTGTGTTTGCCATGCAAGTCCAGGTGAGTAGGTGTGGTTTTTCTGCTACGAGTAAGGCTTTGAACACCTTCAAATTCAGAGCACTAGATATAAGTTTATGCCGATATAGTTCACTTTTCTTATCTGACTTCTTTCTACTTGGGTAGGCTCAAGTACAGACGTGACATAATTCGAACGGTTTTAACGTTAACCCGGTTTGTAATCAAGGACAGTAAGCAGGGGACATTTTGTTACCGGCATCTTTCCTAATTTTTTTTTATTCTCTCGAGAACTGATATTATTATAAAATACTGTACTCTGAAAACCTACCACAACCTCTTCTAATAGGTACTTCTTCTACCACCTCTCTTTTTCAAAGGTGGGATTTTCTCAATAAGTTTGGATTTGACGGAAATGAACATTTGTCATTTGTGTTTGAACATTGTTCTGATTCCTGCAGATTTGGAATTCCTTTCATAATCAATGTACTGCAGTTTACTGCCATGTTAATTATTCATATTTGTGAGCAGTGTAGGATGATATCGTTAATTTTAAGAACTGAATTATGTTTAATTATGTCAGAAAAAACATCAAGAGAATTACACATTGAGAGAACTTTTGTTATGGAGCAAATATTTTGACGTGTTCCATTGAACTTATTCGATTGATGACCTATTTATTTTGTAGAAATTCATATGGAATAAAGACAATAACTTTTGTCTAATTTCTACTTATTCTATATTCAAATATTTCGACATCTAAGTTGAATTGCTAAACAATGAGACTGTAGTTGAGAAGTTTCCATTATGAAAGGGAATTTTTTCTCTTCTTTTTTCATAAGTTTTCCCCATTTTCTGTATGAAAATGGAAAGATAAAAAGCCAAATTTTCTTTCTGGAAACTAATCTCTCCTAAAACTAATTCTGATTCACTATGTTATTATTGTAAACTGTTTCTTTTTCTTTTAAAGCTGACAAATCGGATCATCTGAATGACTCAAAGTTCTCACTGTCCAGAAATGGTTTTCCTCTGCCTTGGACTATATATACTACCCAACTTCTTCGAGGAAAAGAAGAATCTGGGTTTTCTTTAGGTGGAAGGTATAGGTCTTTAGCAGATTATTGAACTTGCCAGATCTAACTCTTCCATGCGAAGAAAACCTAGGCTACAGAATGAAAAGAAATGGAAGAACTATGAAATAAGTTTGGTGAAGCACGTCTTTTCCAACATTGGACAACAGATGCAATAGACTTTGAAGAAAATGCCTTGTGGTTAAAGTTGCCTCTTGATGAGTTCTGTAGAGTAAGTGGAGAAGTGGTCTCTTCACTTTGTTTTTAATAGTGAGATTCAACTCCTCCAACTTAGTTTTTGGACTCGCTTCGACAGGGTGTTTAGAAAAAGTTGCCACCAAATAGTCTGGAAGATTTTTTGTTAATTGCCTAAATTTCTACGAGATTTTTCTCGAAACATATTCATTTATTCATCAATTCATATCTTGTTCTTTTCAGAGTAGTCCCCCTCAAGTATAATAAACTTGTGTCAGCGTTTTTTCCAATCCTCGCAGCAGTGCTGATGAGCACTTCAATCTTGGGAACAGGAAAAAGTCGCAGGGGGCTAAATCTGGTGAATATGATGGCTGAGGCACGATTCCGGTGTTGTCGTTGGCCAAAAAATTACGAACCAGAAATTACGTGATTCAAAAGCTATGAATTGTTTTCCCAAAAAACCGGACGTTTTCTTCATATTGCTCCTCGCAAGCGGCGCATAACTTCAAGATAATAATCCTTATTGACCGTAAGACCATGTGGCCTGAACTCCTGATGCACCACGCCAGTTATTTGAAATGAACTATGGCTCTTCTGAGCTCTTCCATAGGGACGATTAAACTTTGGTTTTGATGCCATAATCATATATTCATGATTGGCCACCAGTTATGATTGTCCAAACATGCTCTGCTATTCCGGATTTGCTGGTTTCTCCTCGCTGTGTGTGTTTCTTGTGCTCAACAATGCGAATTTTCAATGGCCTCTTAGTTTCACCGATCTATGATTCTCCGCACTCGCAGAGTGCGTAGAATCTTATATCAGAATCATTTAATTTAAAAAACAATGTTTTCATACAGCGCTAAAATTTAGTATATATGTGCACTAAGAAAGGATTTTCAAATATTCCTACTGAGGCGCCCCCGTGGATGTAAAAGGGGAGCGTTTATATATGAAAATTACCTTTTCATCACTATTTCTCTGTACCGCTATATTTTCGGAGGCTGAAATTATTTATGTAGGTTCGTTTTATGTTGTACATATGCAATGCGAGATAATTTTTGAATATTCCAACTAAGGCGTCCCCTGGGGATGAAAGGGGCGCGTGTACATATGCAATAAGAAAGGCTCCGTGAATATTTAACTGGGGCGCCAGCTGCAGGGGAAAAAGGAGCATCCATAAAACAAAATCATCTTTTAATCACTTCATGCCCTCTCCATGCCCTTAAATTTTCAGTGGGTGAATTTATATTTAGTATCAACATTGCACCCGTGCAGAGCCGGGGCGGCTCGCTAGTTCAGTATACAATTACTTCAAAAAAGCATTGTCCAAACTAAAAGGTTTATGTCAGTTGCGTCGAGTCACATTTGGCAACACTCTTGTAATTCATAAAGAATGAGTGGAATCGAATTTACATCATGCAGCTAAACTTTGAATATGGGTTGACAATTGCATAAAAACCTAATTTTTTGGGCTTTGTTTATGGTCAAATTGATGTAAAAATCACGTGAGAACTTTGTTGGTTACTTTTCTTCTCGAATGAGGCAAAAATGTAAGACAAAAACTATACAAAAAACAGTTTTTACTGGTTACTCACAAATTAAAATACAATTTTTAGCTCAGTTGATATTTTAATAAATTTGTCCGCACTATAACATCATCCTTCCAAGAAAGGCAGCGATTTTTCGAAAGTAAACAAGTACACAAACTCGTAGATGTACGATAAAATCCTAATATCAATAAATGACCAACTAGATGATTTGAAATGAAATTACTCACCTTCGTGAATTACAACTGCATTCCCTCAAGTTTACCTCTGATCAATATGAGCTCAAGTGAAATATTGTTCTTCTTCCTCTTGCCATATTCTTTTTCGTCAGTGCTTATTTCACCGAAAAACGAAGAATTCCTTCTAGGAAAAATAATGGAAATGGTATTCAGATCTGGCAAGATATGTTTCGTCCACGACAACACCAGCATCAGTCCCAAACTGGAAAAAGCTCTAACTCTGACTAATTTCTCTCTGAATTCATTTTCTGTAGACTATTTCACCTCTTCTCAGCTCAGCGCGGTCAGATCAGAATTACAGCAAGCTTGCTGCGACACTCTTATAATTCTGAGACAAGCTGATGATTTTCTTGGAAGTATTTTCGAAAAAGACTTCAAGAAACAGATTCCTGATTTAATCCAGCCTCATTCCAGGATGATTTTTGTGTACGACAAGGCTTCGGAGATTTCAAAAAAACTGATGATGAATTTAGTCAACGAGTTTGCTATTGATGTCATCACAGTGGAAAATTTACAGCCGGAGAAGAAGTCGCAGTTTTTCAGCGTGGAAAGTGCAAGAGGCAAGAATTTGAGGGTGGAAAGTTTATATAGGAACAAAACTATTTTATCTGGTAAGAGAATTATTCAGAATAATTTACTGCTGATATTTTACTAATACAAAGAATATCAAAAAAGTGCAAAATCATGAGTACACTGACCCGCAGCTTGATGAAAATTAATAATAATTATAACAGTAGGTGATATAACAACAATATCAACAACAAAACAATATCACTTTTAGGAAAGCAGGTAGTTTATAAAAATAACAAATAAATTTGAATGTTTGCCTTTATTGATTGCCAGAGATTACAGCAGTTTCAATTTTTGTCCCCAACTTTCTGTTTGTATTATTTCGTAGTTCATATTAAAATCGTGGTTATTTTCTGAAAGATGGCTTCAAACTTTTGTTATGTTCGGAGATTCTCGTTTTGAAATTTCTTGAAGGCCTTCCTATATACATTTTTAAGCCACATGTTGGTTTGTAGACCCCTGCCTTGCTATCTTTGTCCATGTTTGACTTGTTGTTTTTCACATGTCTTTCCAAAGAGCTGCCAGTTTTATACGTTATGTTAATGTTTTCTTTTGTGAGTAATGAATAATGAGAATGGCATTCATCACCCGAAGACGATTGTGGATACAAACAACCGAAAAGTCGTGAAGTAACTTGACTTGAAACCTTTCGATTTTTTGCCTAATTTTTATTTTATTCTAATTTCTTCTCAGGGTTTCTTGCTTCTTTTCAATTTTCATTTCCATTTGTTATTTCAGAGATTTCAAATCATATCATAGTAAACAATGAGAGTCCGAACTGATAAACTTCACCATGAAACATTATCAACCACCTTCAAAAAAAGTTATCTTTTTATTTCATCTGATCTGATCTGACACTGGTCATCTCAATGTACCGGTTCACCTTAAATGCTCTCCAACCTCTATCTCGAAAACGATTCAACGTATGTTTGATCTTCCTCTTGAAGATGTACCACTTGGTGATCGAAACACGTGTCGAGGTGTTAAAATAACGGTTTGGTGTCGGGAAAAAACTCCAGTAATATTCGTATAAGAAAATGTTTTTGAAAATTGTTTATTATCATGAATAGTATAATTAATTGATACATAAACTGTTAATTGATTCATTCTTAATCTCAGGTACACATTTTCAACATTAATTAGGTAGGTTAAATTCAGGTACTCCAAATTGTGAAAAAAAAATACATATAGAACATTGTATATGTAGATTGTAGATTCTAGTTAGCATAGACATGCCTGAAGAAGATATTGTATATCGAAACCCGTGTTGTGTTTTTGTAAAACTGTGTATTGAATACACTGTGGATTTTCGTTAACTTTTGGCTGACTCCATCACATGTTTTTGGTAAAATATTTCAGAGACAAATAACAACTATTTTGGAACATTTCAGTGAACCAAAAAAATGGAAACGTTAAAATGCGCTGGTCAGATTTTGGAATGAACAAGTGGACTCCGAAATTTGCCCCCGGCAAATTTTTCACAGTGTCGTTATTTCATTGCCCTCCTTTTTGGTATGTTCAAAATGGAACTTTGAGGAAAGGACTAGAATCACGAATAATCGATGAAATCACGAAAGGTTGGCCAGTCAAGTATTACGTAGATGAGGTAAGACTTGATTTTAAGTTCCTCTATTGCAGTATCTTCTACACATGTGGACAAAAAGTTCAAAAAAAATTCCCTGATACTAAGTGAATGTATCACAGTCTACATAGTGGCAGTAGCAAATGAAATATAAATTTTGAGTTGCTCAAAGCTGAAATAATTCAAAGGCAGGAACAGTGATCCACAACGAGGTATTCAGACACACCTTCATTTCCTTCAATCAAGAAAAAAAATGTGAGCTACGGTTTAATAAACGAAAAAATGAAAAATTGAAAGGGAAAAGCTGACTTGATTGACCTGCACTCACAAATTACTATTTCTTTACTTCCAAATGTCGTACTCATTATATATTTATTTCATATTTTTTATATTATTTTCAATTCATCAACTAACTTGATCGCATATTTTGACTCTAGTATTTTCAATATTTATTTCCTCTCAGATTTCAAATTCGTTGATTATTTTCCAGATGTTTAAACTCAGAACCTGTAACATTTCCCAGAAAAACTATCAGCCATCATTTTTTATCCAAATTTCTTGCACATAACTTAGGCTTTGCTTCTGGCTATAACTTGATTTGACTCTGAGTTGACTTTAAATTCTGTAGAAACATCGCCTCCCAATCAATAAATGTTCTCTGGTATTCCAGATTCTTCAGAACGAAGACAAATGGAACCACACACTGGATCTTGTTGAGCAAAGAGAAAGAGATGCTGCTGTCTGCTCTCACTGGCTGATAAGAAGCGTCTCCCGAAGGATACATTTCACACAGCCAATTTACCAAGTCTCCATAACATTTCTAGTAAAGAAACCCCAGCTTTTACCAATCGCCACCTTTCTTTTCCAGCCTTTACAAGTCTCCGTATACTGTGCCATTTTTGGAGTACTAATACTTATGAGGGTACTACTCTACTGTTTCAGACAGTGGAGAAGCTACAGAAGTTTTTCAGAGACACTTCATCTAGGTGTGAGATCCATCAACACCCTTTTACTGGTCTTGGCCGTCTTCTCCCTCCTTTGCTCTACGTACTACTCGGCGGGACTAACGAGCAATTCGGCTCATCCTAGAGTTACCCAAGACATCCATTCCTTGGAAGACATGGTGGCTCATAACATACCTTGGGTCTTCGATTTCGAATATTACCAAAAATACTTCAGATCCTTGGATAATCCCGTCTTGCAGCGGCTGGCGGAACTTTATATTCCGGGTCGGAAGATTCTGGATCGTACAGAAAACTCGGCTATTTACGTCAAAGTCTTAGGAGATAAGTATGTCAATGAGATAGAAGATCTGCCCGCCTCAGAATGGAAGTACTACAAACTTCTGGGGGAGTATATAGGCCACTACTATGCTGGATTAATCCTCCAAAAGAACTCGCCGTTTTCCAAGGTTTTCTCGGAGGTGTCTCAAAGGCTTTTGGAGGGTGGTTTGGTGCAAAATATGTTTGATAATCTGCGCACGGAAAGCCAAGGTTTCATGGAGGTGTTTTTCACTAAATATGTTGATTCTATGGAGTACCTTTACATTGATCTGGAAATGATGCAGGGTGCACTTTTTCTGCTATGCCTGGGTTGGCTGGCTGGCATAGTGGTATTCATTTCGGAATGCTGGTATTCAAGATGGATCAGAACGAAATAGATTAGTAGTAAATATACAAGGACGCTAGAAAGTCTAGAAATTGATGGCGATATTTTATAGATACTGTGTACAAAATATTTCTAAAACACTTTATTTCTTTTCAGTTTCATGAAAGTTGGGATTCTTCCTCTTTTCAGTCGTTTTGATTCGTGCACAGTTTCTAGACATTTTGGAAATGGAGGTACCGGATGTTATATGTATGATTACTCCTGAGGAAATAATGATTATTATAATGAATTGTAAGAGTTGTAATTTCAATGCATGTAAAGTTGATAAATTCAAAATCAGCTGAGTAATTACAATCTTCAAGGAAGGTGGCAAAGGAAGGGGGCAAAGGGAAATGAACTTCATAGTTTTTTTTATTGGTGAGATCTGCATAACCCAAGTTAGATATTTGATTGCGTTTCTCGTCATATTCCAGTGAACTACTACCCTTCCTCATATATGAACCACTATGAACACTACGAACCACTATGAACCACTTATTCAGAATGAATAATCCTTTTTGTCATATTCTTCCACATGAATGTGTGATGTACACTGATAATACATCGCTTATGCTCTCACGAAAATTGATTACCACTGTGAAAATGGCAGAGATTCTGGCAGAATATTCGATGCTAATTTGCTGAAATTGAATGAAGAAAAAACTCAGGAAATAATTTTTTCCACTTGTTGTAGTATTACCAGGAGTAATTTGACCGTCAGGAATGTGACCCCAGGACGCCTTGAACTGGTCTAATTACATTGATTGAGTTAGGAATAAAGCTTTTGAGATGTATATTTCTTCTTAGACGACTGAAGAAACTTTCAGCATAACATGAATTTTTCTATTCACTTTTCAGCTACAGAGCTTTGATCTGGGAAAACTGTTCTTATGCCGTGAAATTGGCATTCTTCAATAGCGTTGAATTAGAATAATTTCAGGAGCTGGTTTCAGAGATTGATGTCGTCCCAAATAATTGACTGAAATAATTAACGCTAAACAAAGTAATACAAATCTATAACTTAACGATCACTTTAATCATAATGTTAGTCCTAATTTACATATGTATTCAACATAAATAAAAACCAAATTACAAAAACTTTCACATGTCCCCCTTCCATCCCCAAACACTTTATTGTTCGTGCATAACATTTTTTATTGACATTTTCTAAAGAAGATTTCGATGTACTGGCACAACACTGCCTAATAACATTTTCTAATCCATGTAAATTAGGACGACCCTTTGAGGTAACACTATGATTAAAGAGATTGTAAACGTTTAGATTTGTATTACTTAATTGTATAGCATTAATTAATTTACTCAATTATTTTTCGTCAATAAATCATACTGATAGTTATTATGGACAAACATACAGAGTGAATTAAAAATTTTGCACCAAAAAACTAGTAAAAATTTAAACTATTTTCAATCGATGTACCGGTTCCAATAATGAATTGGACTGAATTTCGCATTGAAATATTATTATAGTAATATGACGGAGGCCATATGAGATACTAGTAGTCTTTATGAGGCTAGAACCATAAAAAAATGGATTTTTTTAATAATGCCGAAAATAAGGGTTGTTTACTACTGATCAGAATTTCTATTTTTTGTTCTCCCCTGTACACCGTTCAGAAATTTGGAATTTCGACAACTCAAATCCAAGTTTTCCGTATTGCCCCAATTTTTATTAAGAAATAAATTTTCGGTGTATGTTACATACAATGTCATAAAACAATACCTTTTTTCCGCAATTGGGTGATGAATAAATAAAACAGACAGGTACTGGAACATTATTTTATTAAATCATGATCAAATGTTATGAATACAAGGAAATACCAAGGATTCTCAGCAAAATGACATATTTCACCCCTCACAATCAACCCAAAATCTGGACTAAAGTTTCTGCAGACTATTGTCATTATATCTTGATTATATTCGTCGTTAAGACCGCTATGGAATTTATTTTTAATGAAGCCCATCTTGAAAACTGCTGCTTCACAAACATATGTTGACCCAAACGAAGTGAGCGCGTACCTCCCAAACTCCCCCCTCTGCGACGTTCCTTTGCTGAATCAACCGCAGCAAAGATAAAGCGCGTGAAAAATTATGTAATTACATACTCAAGATACATATATGTGAGATAGTTTGTTTGGTGACACAAGGTCCTCACAAAATAGGTTGGCGGTCCAGATTCAAATCAAGGTCCGCTATTTTGTAAACCCTAGCTAGACCCTAACTCAGCAGTGAATACAATGTTTTTTCGAGACAAATGATTGATCCGAAAACGGCGAGAAAAAAAATACGCGTGAATACTGGCTAGACAGAAGTTTTTGGGGCAGTGGGCCTGATGTGCTATCTGGATGAACTGAAGGACCCCGGAGTGGTTCTAGCTGGATTGATGTTAGACAAAAGCTTGGCTATCAATTTGAAACAATCCCTGTTACTCCTCGACGTGAAAATTAGGACAAGATCATTGAGACTGATGTTATTCAAAATAAATTCGTTATTGATGTATCCTCGTAACAGCTTCAAGTATATAGAGAATCCTGGAGCATTGTGGAAAACTCTGTCTTGGTTCTCAAGCACGGTCAATGTCTCATTAACTAGCCTGCCCAGTTCTTGGCTATCCTGCACGCGGGAGTTGTAATTCAAAATAGCGTTGATGAGTTCCTGAGCGTCACCCTTTTCGATGTGAAGCTCTGTGTAGTCAACCAATATCGTTATCAATCCATCCACACCCTCGTGAGAGCCGCTGCTGGCTTGTTTGAGCAAGCTCAACACCTTTTCTGGGGAGTGTGCCAAATTACCGAACAGCTCAATGAGGTCAGAGCGCAATCCAGTTTCGGCCAGAACATTCAGCAGCACTTCGGCTCCACTTTCAGCTCTGAAAATTTGGGAAGCGTCAAAGTTGATGTTTCCCTCGTTCAGTTTCCCTTCAGAGTACTCCAATAGTTTGGCTATTGCCAGGTTAACATTAAGGAAGCCGTCAACTGAACTGGCTATCTTGAAACTTCTGGAGCCCTTGTACACCAAGCCCAGGCAACCGTTTAGTTGCCGAATGAATTTTTCAAGCAGTTCCAGTTCCTGTGGCAGAGGCAGCGATCCTCCCAGGTCGTTGAACACTTCTTTCAATTCTCCTTTCACTGGTTCCTCCAACATGTCTAGGCTGGACTTCTGTCCCATCTCCTGGGCGGTTTTCAACAGCGATTGCAAAGATGAGAGTTTCTGGAAGTAATCGTCAAAGTTGGGCCAGATGTCGTCGTTATCGCTCTTCAGGTGGTAACGAGCTTTTTCTGAAATGTTCACTACAATGATGGTTCCTTGCTTTCCGTTGAAGACGGCTATTATTTTTGACGTGTAGTCAACTACTACGGCTGCCTTGTCGGATCTGCTGAGGATGGCGATGAGATATGGTTTGTAGAGGACCTGTCGGTCTCCTTCAGCTGAAAAAAGGAAATGTTGCTAAAATATCAGTTTGGAATTCCTTCGATATGTTTAAGAAGGTTCACATGAGGAACTCGATGGAATTACTGAGAAACCCAAACCGATCTTAACGGAGATTTACGTAAAATTGAGCGACAGCGGAAAAGCGCAAGACTCGTGCCTGAGATACTTGAACATGAACAACTCTAAGATTGTAGACAATTTTGTTGGTCAATTAAAATTTACTATGAAGTGCGCACACTGTGGATCAGTAACCTTCGATCTTTTCTGGGATTTGTCTCTCCCTATACCACAAAGAACTGGCCAATTGAGTTTGTCAAAATGCTTGGATTTCTTCACAAAAGAGGAAAGCTGGCTGATGAAAGACCAACCTGTTCGAGGTTTTCCCGTATTTTAGTAGTTCATTTGAAAATATTCTCTGCAACGGAAAGATTCAGAGTAGATATGAGTAATTATGCAGCAGACAATGTGGCTCATTGTCGTTACAATCTATATGCACTTTCGAATCACAGTGGTACTACTTACAACGGACGTTACACAGCAAATGGCAGACACCCATACAGTGGCACGTGGCACGAATACAACGAATCACACGTGTCCCCAATTTCACCAAAATCGCTTGTGAGTGAAGAGACATATGTCCTCTTTTATGAACCGGAAGGAACAAAGCAGCACTTTTGAGGTGTTTTTTTTCTTTTTCTCTTTTAATAAGCTGAATTCTGTTAATTGATTTGTATTTCATGATTTTTGAGGTAGTTTTATGTGCACGTTTGGAAATAAAATCGCCTTGTCAATTTGAAAAAAAATCCAGAATATGTTATTTGAATAATGGTACAGATATAAAAGTCAATTGTCAAATAGGTTAAATGAGAGAATTATGACATGAATTCATCAATATTGTAACAATTTTTCTCAATAAGTAATGCTTTATATTTGGATTTGAAAATATTTATATTTGGGGATTTTTTGGTAGTCATCAAGGTGGGTTAAAACTTTGCATCCTAAATATAAATGACTTTTTGAGTTATGTGCAAAGCTAGCACAAGAAGTGGCATATTGATGATTTGTTCTGTTGAAAAATTTGTCATTATGTTTGTACTTATACAAATATACTTATATACAACTAAAACTCAAGTACTTAAAATGTATGCACTTCAAATTGTGAAATAAAGTATATAAAGCATTGAATACGTAGAATATAGTTAGTAAAGACACGCATTTTTGTAAATTGTTCAGTGAAAATCTCATAATGAAATGTTTTTTAATACGCTCGAAATATTTGAATTTCATTGCGAATCGGATAAATCATGGATTCACCGAACACTCGTTTATTACTACGGAAGCCATACCTCCTGCAGAAAGCCTAGCAGTAACTCTAAGGAAGACATGCCGAATTAGTTCTCCTATTTAATGTTGAGACTCACCTACAGAAGAAACTCAACATCCCATAAGTTCACTACGTTCAATCAAAAATGGACATTTCTTCCCTATTGAATTTGTTTCCCATCACCTTAGTGGTAGAATAAGTCATGTATAGTTTTGCGGTATTGAAAACTGTTGAAGCAGGTTTGCAGAAAACTTCGGAATAAATGTATACTTCAGGTTTTTTCGTTTGAAGCAATACCTTGTCAGCGAAAATAGAGATTTTTTCAAAGACTCACCTTTTTGTCCTGAAATGAAAACACAACATGTCGCGCTGGTAACTATTAGCACTAGTAGCACTAGTAGCAAACGCATTTTCAATGGAACTATGCTTGCAAAAGGCTGAGGTAGTTTCATTTATAGGTATCGTTTTCTACATTAATTGAGTACGATTATTCGAATAATTATCTCTTGCAATATTTTGCATCCATTAAACGAGTGAAAATGAAACAGCCTGAATCATTTGTGATACGACCACTCTGAAAATGAATAATTGCATTAATGTTGAATTAAACTGGGCATTAAATTGGGTAACATTTTTTGCAAATATTGTTATTTAGCGGAATTATCCTTTATTATCAATTCGAAAAAAAAGTATGTATTTATTTATTTATTTCATACACTATTCTACAGGATGAACCCAATTACAGAATAGGGAGTAACAGTGGCATTTAGAAATATGTATTTACATAATATAATTTGTGAATCAATATAAAAAAAATAAAAACAAAACTGTTAGTTGGCTGAGAAATGTCTTTTGATTTGTATAATCTGGCAGTTGAATATATCTAGGATATGACTAACAGAATTAGAGCTTTAATTCGATGTAAAAAACATGCATGTTCGTCATGAACATAAAAAAACACCAAAATATTACCTGTTTATACCTGGCTGCGAAGTAGTTGCGGATGAATGAGGAATGGCTCCCATGGCTTTTTTAAATCTTTACATAAGTACATTATTACCAAAAATTATTAAACATTTTTTTAATTAAAACTATTTGCGGACACTTTTTGACTGACTTCTATTCATAAATGTATGTAAATATTCGAGTGTGATTAACTACGCTATGAACGTAGTTACTTTGCAGAAGGATCCTGTACTATAATCTGAATTATTTCCTCAAGTCGTTTCAAGTTAGAGTACAGTTTCTATATGTTTTAGCAGTACGGGTACTGGAATGACTACCTCCAAAAACTGATGTATGTAATCATTTCTAAATAAATAATAACTAAAATGTTTCTCTTGAAAAACTGACTAATAGGTAATCATATTCAACTCTGTCATCGAGTTGGGATCTGTGAATCAAAAGGCTATTTTCGAATTTCATTATTTCCAAGAAAAAAAGCAGAGTTTTGAGAAAATTCTACCTCTGTTTGAGATGAAACATGCGTGTTCTCTATTAGAGTAACAGGCCCAATATTTCCATCAATCTCGCCCCCCTTACCTATTTATAATATTTCTTCTTTATCTGAAATCAATTATTTTTTTACTTACATCAGTTCTGGAACAAAAAAAATGAAAAGTGTTTCTGTACTCAACAGAAGTTGTAAGATTAACCATACCTACATCGGGAAACACTTTGTATAAAAACAACTTTTTAACTTGGTTAAATTTATTTAAAACAAATTATTACTTTTCTGAATGAATATTATCGAAATTCCATCTATTTATTACACTGCAACAGAGTGGTACGTCAGTGATGATGTTTTTCTTTTGGTTTTATATGATGCGATCTGCCTTGTCCTGAAAAAATAAATCACACTATATAATGAGATTTCAATTGTTGAAAACGGTTTTCAAAATCATGATGTCACGTTTTTTGATATAATAGCTTCTCCGCTGTTAGCTTACAATAGTTCAGAAGCTCACAATAAAGTGTTGTTCAAAGAACAAGTAAATTATCAAAATAACTACTACTGAATAGTCGCTCACTGAAACGACATTTATTCTAAAATATTTGAAATGAGTGAAGTTGTGAACTTCATATTTCAAAGTGTGATCCCAAACTTGAATGAGGATATTATACTATATTCTTCTTCTTTACAAAATAGATTGTGCAGACTATATATCAGTTTATTTATTAACTCCTACTGAAATAGTTTGAGAACGATAATATAAACAAACTTTTAGTGCTTACCGCCAGCACTAACTTTTCCTCCATTTCCACCTACACCTACTGATCCACCTCCTCCTGTGCCACCATTTCCTCCACCGCCTACTTGTATGGCACCGCCTTTTCCTCCTGACCCGTTTTCGCCTCTGCCGGCTACAATTGAGCCACCCCCTTCCTTTCCTCCGCCAATACCAACTGATCCTGCTCCACCTGAGCCTCCATTTCCACCTCCACCTACCGAGAAAGATCCTCCACTGTGGACTGAACCACCACCACCACCACTTCCTTCACTTCCACTGCCTCCTTTTCCATCTCCGCCCACGCCTATTGCACCTCCTCCACCTGAACCACCACTTCCTCCCCCACCCACTGACAAACTTCCTCCTCCGTGTTCACCTCCTTTTTCAGCTCCCTGTCCTCCTTCTTTTCCTCCCACTTGTCCTCCCTTCTCTCCTTCTTTACTTTGACCGTCTACTTCAATCTTTCCTCCTTCCTTTCCTCCGTCACCTACACCTATGGCACCGCCTCCGCCTGCACCGCCATTACCTCCACCACCAATTCCTATGGATCCGCCATTGCCTACCCCAATTTGCCCTCCTCCTTCGCCACCTTTTCCATCTCCTTTGCCGCCTCCTTCTCCGCCTTTTCCATCTCCTCCGATTCCTTTATCACCTCCTACGCCTCCTATTCCATCTCCTTTTCCTCCATCCGAACCTCCTTTATCATCTCCTCCTTTACCCGCTCCCTCTCCTTTTCCGTCGCCTCCGATTCCATTTCCTCCATCTGCACCTCCTTTACCGTCTTCTCCTTTACCTGCTCCTTCTCCTTTTCCGTCTCCTCCGATTCCTATTCCTCCGTCTGCACCTCCTTTGCTATCTCCTCCTTTACTTGCTCCTTCTCCTTTTCCATCTTTCCCTATTCCTTTTCCACCATCTATACCTCCTTTACCATCTTTTTCTCCCACTCCCTCTCCTTTTCCGTCTCCTCCTAAACTTCCTTTTCCATCCCCTCCTCCACTTGCTTCTCCTTTTTCGCCTCCACTACCTTTTCCACCGCCTTCTTTACTCCCCCCATCATTTTCTTTTCCACCTCCATAGCCTGTCGAAACAATTTTGATATATCAAGACGTTAAACATGTATATGAATCCATTAGCTCATTAATTTATTTATGAGAAATAAGTCCATGAGTTTTTCATGTAGTTGGAGAGTTTCATTAATTAAAACACTTGCCTGGTCCAAAAAGACCACCCAACGGTCCAGAAGATGACGAGCTATTGGTTGATCCTTTAACTCCTCCCTCAACTGTAAGAAATAAGCTTTTTTGAACTCACACTTTCTCGAAATGTCGGTTAATGATTTCAGTTTCAGTTATAGGTATTAAAAAAAAATTATGATACGATAAATGTACGCCTGGTATTCCTTCAAGATAGTTTTTACTTTGAACTTATTAAATCATTTACCTGATCCGGAAAGACTTCCCGATGATGAGCCTTTGTCTCCTCCCGTTGATCCAGAAGCTGAGGAGTTTTTTTCTCCTCCCAGTGATCCAGAACTAGATGAGCTTTTATTTCCTCCCACTGATCCAGAACCAGAACTTCCTTCTAAGGATCCAGAAATAGATGAACCTTTTTCTCCTGATAACCCAGCACTGGATGAATCTTTGCCTCCTCCCGATGAACCTTCACCTCCTTCTGATGAATTGGAACTAGAACCGGATGAACCTTTGTCCCCACTCGAAGAACTGGTACCAGATGAACCTTTATCCCCTCCCAATCCTCCAAACCCAGATGAACCTTTGTCTCCTCCAGATGAGCCTTTGTCTCCCCCAGATGAGCCTTTGTCTCTTCCTAATGAACCAGAACCAGAAGAACCTGTGTCTCCTCCCAATGATCCAGATCCAGAGGAACCTTTGTCTCCTCCCAATCCTCCAGAACCAGATGAGCCTTTGTCTCCTCCAGAAGAGCCTTTGTCTCCTCCTGATGAACCAGAACCAGATGAACCTTTGTCTCCTCCCAATGATCCAGATCCAGAGGAACCTTTGTCTCCTCCCAATCCCCCAGAACCAGATGAGCCTTTGTCTCCTCCAGATGAGCCTTTGTCACCTCCTAATAAACCAGAACCAGATGTACCTTTGTCTCCTCCTAATGAACCAGAACCAGATGTGCCTTTGTCTCCTCCAGATGAGCCTTTGTCTCCTCCTAATAAACCAGAACCAGATGTGCCTTTGTCTCCTCCTAATGAACCAGAACCAGATGAACCTTTGTCTCCTCCAGATGAGCCTTTGTCTCCTTCTGATGAACCAGAACCAGATGAACCTTTGTCTCCTCCTGATGAACCAGAACCAGATGAGCCTTTGTCTCCCCCAGATGAGCCTTTGTCTCCACCAGATGAGCCTTTGTCTCCTCCAGATGAACCTTTATCTCCACCAGCTGAGCCTCCACCTAGTAAGAAATGTTTTCATTCATAGAAAGATAAAAACGTACTCTGTTGAAGATATTATTGGTGTTACAGATTTTGTATATCTTTCAAAAATATTTTGCAAAATTCACTGCTTGCAGTGAATTATGCAGAATAATAGAACGTGAATGGGTTGTTAATGCTTAGCTTTGAATTCTTAGTTTTTCTTCATATGTCAACTCATTTTCAATCATCTCAATAACTTCTCAGAAACGTAAAACATACTTTTTTTCAACCTTCTTCAAGAGTTGGAGATGACTGAAAGTGCTATGTGGTAATTAAACTGTTTTTTTACAAAAATTGTAGAGTTATGTGAACATTTGAATGAAGTTTTGATTGCTCATCTTATGGTAACTATAAAAAATTCAACACACCTCATGGAAATGAAGCTAGTCAAATTGACTCACCCAATCCAAGAAGACCTCCTAGTCCACCAGATGAGGATCCACTTCCTCCTTCTCCCCCTCCTGTGAAAAATCAATTCATTTTTATTGTCTGTATTACCATATCCATCTGAAATGTATCCAGCAAATATCTCAAAATCAACCTTGGAGTTTTCCTACGTTCCCTATAAGTGATCCAAGTTGACTACTCACCTGATCCAGAAGAGTGAGAATCATTTTTTGAACCACCACTGCCAGATCCATTACCTGTCAAATGAAATGATTTTTGTCAGTTTTCAAGTCCTCTTCAATTATGAAATTCGATCATTCTCTCAATCATTTCCTGTCTGGGTCTAATTCAACCCCTATTCCTAGTAAAAAAGGGGGATGGAAATCACTCTCAGGAAGTTTTACGTTTTGGAATTGTTTTTGGGTCAAAACTTGCCCCTCTTACTTATGGTTGTCGATTTTTACAAAAAAAATCTTCTCTGGCTGTTCTGCTTTGCAGTACGTTGACCCGTTCTGTATATCTTTTTACATTTCAACTTTGTGTTTGTAAAATATTTTTCAGATAACTTATCAATCTTTCAATAACTAAAACTAATTGCGACCGGGTGGAATATAATCAGAAATAATTCTTTTAATTTGATTTTTTCCAAAAAACTATCGCTACTGAATAATTGAAAATGTGTGCAAGCAATTCCTCTATTGAAAAAATTGCAAACTGTATATATTATACAATTCCGGCAAGCATTTGACAAATTGTATCACGTAACAATGGTGATTATGTCATAAATAATCATTTACCTACCAGGTTATCTCTAATAGAATGAAGTTATGATGGAACTGAAATATTATGCAAGTCAGTAGGGGAGGTTATAAGCTATGAGAAGAAAGATACAGGTAATAAAGTTTACACTAACCTCCGCCAAATATACTGCCAACTATTCCTCCGATAACTGGTATGCCGGTGACGCTCTCAACAATCTGGTTGATACCTCCATTTCCTCCCACTCCTGTAGAACACAAATTTCAATCATCGTGGAAGTACTCTTAATTTCATAACATAATAAACATAACCTGACCACCAAAGACCGAATGATTTTGACTACCCGCAATATGGCATTAGTCATTTTTTTGTCTCTCCATTGACTGATCAAAATTTCATTGAGCCTGATTCATTTTTTTTGTTTGTTGACTTATCTACTTCTTCCATCTTTTCATGAATCCATCACAACAATCATGTTTATATGCTTTCCTGATCCAGGATAAAACATAAGGAGCTGCCTCTGCCTCTTTGTTACAAAACCTTCAGCTAATGTTGAATGGCTGATGTCCAAAGAGTAACCCTCTAATAATTCTGAGCTGATACAGAAGTTTTTTTGTGAATACTTTTCCGGTAGTATTCCCGGCTGAAACTCCCAAATACCCATTATATGTTTCTCATGGGCCCATTTAATCTGCTGTAGTTATTTTCCATATAGTTGACAAATACTATTCCAAAGCTACAAATTTCGACCTGCAAGTACCAGTAATGTGATGGTATTACTGTTATATCAGGTTACACCTTTTGTTTTACCTGTCTAAGTGTTGATTCTAGATCAATCTGGAATCTCCATCTAGATCATCTCGGTAAGTGCTACCAAGGCCGACTAGGGTAGGTAGGTTTATGTTGAACCCTTCCTTGGTTCCTTCCTTTTTTGCTCTGTGTAGTTTGAATTTTATTAGTGCTTTGTTGTACTCCTTCAGGAACTTATTTCATTCATCCAATAAATCTGATTCCCTTCCACTTTAAAAATGTTTCTAGTTTGTTCTCTCATCTATGGAAGATCTTCATTCTACTGCAGAACATTCTCATTTGATCTCAAGTTGTGGGACATTATTTGTTGCGTATATGTACGGTTCTTAGCAAGTTTCCCAATTCAAAAGTTTCCCATTTTTTTTGGGGTTTCGAATGATCCAAACCATTTTCCTCATCAAACACATTCCATTTCCTAACGAAGATTCTCATACGTACCTACATTACTGCTCCACATCTCATATTCACAAAGGTTAATTTATCGTCTACATTTAAAATATTTGAGCTGTTGGCCACAATAAATGACCTCTTTTAACGGTGATTTCCTCAGCCCTTTCCCTCTGTACAAAATTAGTGGAGTTTCTGAAGTTTTGTTGTGGAATGACTTCCCCGGATCTCTACCACTCCCATAATTTCCCCCTGTAGACCCAGTGATCTTGTATGCGAGCAATATCATACTTTCCTATAACCACTACTTCAGCATCAGACCATCTGCCCACGATGATCTTTAATAACACAAATCTATCGACCCTTAAAAACCCTGTAAGGAATAATACTTCATTCGATATTAACAAAAACGTACCTGGTATCACTCCACCACCCAAGATCTGACTGAATTGCTTCCCAAGTGAACGGAAAAACTCCGGAATGGTTCTAGCTGGATTGAGGTGAGACAAGACCTTCGCTATCGAGTTGAAACGATCCGTGGCACTCCTTGACGTGAAAATAACGACAAGATCATTGAGACTGATGTTATTCAAAATAAAGTCATTATTGATGTATCCTCGTAACAGCTTCAAGTATATTGAGAATCCTGGAGCATTGTGGAAAACTCTGTCTTGGTTCTCGAGCACAGTCAATGTCTCATTAACTAGCCTGCCCAGATCTTGGCTATCCTGCACGCGAGAATTGTAATTCAAAATTGCGTTGATGAGTTCCTGAACGTCACCCTTTCCGACGTAAAGCTCTGCGTAGTCAACCAAGATCGTTATCAATCCATCCACACCCTCGTGAGAGCCGCTGCTGGCTTGTTTGAGCAAGTTAAGCACCTTTTCTGGGGAGTTTGCCAAATTACCGAACAGCTTAATGAGGTCAAAGCGCAATCCAGTTTGGGCCAGAACATTCAGCAGCACTTCGGCTCCACTTTCAGCTCTGAAAATTTGGGAAGCGTTCAAGTTGATGTTTCTCTCATTCAGTTTTCCTTCAGAGTACCCCAGTAGTTCGGCTATTGCCAGGTTAACATTTAGGAATCCGTCAACTGGACTGGCGATCTTGAAACTTCCGGAGCCCTTGTACACCAAGCGAAGGGAACCGTTCAGTTGCTCAATGAATTTTTCAAGTAACGCCAGTTCCTGTGGCAGAGGTCTCGATCCTCCTAGCCCTTGTGTGACTTCTTCCAACTCTCCTTTTACTGGTTCTTCCAAATTGTCTAGGCTGGACTTCTGGCCCTTTTCTTGAGCGGTTTTCAATAACGGTTGCAAAGATGAGAGTTTCTGGAAGTAATCGTCGAAGTTGGACCAGATTTCATCGTTGTCGCTCTTCAGGTGGTAGCGAACTTTTTCTGAAATGTTTACCACGATGATGGTGCCTTGTCTTCCGTTGAAGACGCCTATTATTTTTGACGAGTAGTCAACTATTACGGCTGCCTTGGTGGATCTGCTGAAGATGGCTATGAGAGATTGTTTGTAGAGAACCTGTCGGCCACCCTTATCTGAAAACGAAAGAAAGGAAAATTGCTGACATTCAGTACAAAAAAAAACTCTGAAGAGGTCATAATGACTAGAAAATATTTTTAATTATGCGGGGTGTTTCTTAATAACATGTTTATATCTAGGAAGCATATTTTAAACATATTTCTTGAACTTGTGATACATTGTTTGGAACTTTTGGTATACCTAGTAATGAATATTACTGGGGTTCCATCCCAACACCATCTCCATCTCCGCCACTCATAGTAACAACTGCTAGTACGACTACGATAACCACCGAGTACTCTTCGATGTTCCTACATCCAACACCCCTGTATTGTCAGCATAGAAAAGAACAATGAAGATTCGTAACAAATAATCACGAGTTCGAGGGTGGAATTAACTACAGTTGCATCAACGGTATCAACAGAAGTAAGCGATTTTTTTCAGCTCTTTCAGTGGCAGCTTCCACCGATTATCAGGGTGAACTTGGTCAACCGAACAAAGTTGAACCGATATACAAATCTATACTGGCGAACAACCACCAAGTAATCAACACCGTTGAGCAAGAACGAATTGCGCTAGCCCAGCAGAAGCTAATTAGGTTAGTTCAATTGGAACAGAAAAAGCTCAAATTAGAAGAGCACAGGAAGCAGCAACTGTAGATCCAACAATATCACAAAGAACAGAAGCAGAAGGCTCTGGAGCAGAAAATATACAGACTGAATTTGAGCCTGAACAAGCAAAAGCAAATTCATTTGGAGCAACAGAAAGTTCAGATCGTCTTTTGTCAATAACTTCAACAAGTAACCTCAAAATAACGATTTTTCAGACAGAATACTGAGTCTGGCAATTATGACGTCAATGATTCCAAGAACTCCAATACTTTCTATATTCAAAAATCTTTCCAGCCTAATTTTGATAGTTTCGAACAAAACAATAGATTTTTCAGATCTGATGGAGAGTCAGCTTTTGCAGTTCCACAGTTTGCACAACCACCGTAACGTCAGAGTAACAGGTTCTTCAGGTCGAATCTTGAGTCTGCTTTTGGTTCTCCCAGTAACAACTTTCACAATCCTAAAGGTAATAACAGTTATCTTGAAGATGATCACTTGGTGATTGAAACACGAGTAAAGGGGATGATACAATGACGGTTTGATGTTGGCATAGAATTCCAGTAATATTCATATTTCCTGAAAGTCTTAACTTTCGAACTGATAGAAGGAGCTGAAGTTTTGAAAAAATGTTGGTTAGACCTTGAATATTTTTGTGAAACGTAATATGTAATAAAGGAAATTTTCTGCTATAACAATTTCTAGTTTGTCAGTTGCATCCATGATAGATTTGCAATAATTCATTTTGAAGAGAAGAGTGCTTTATCTTGAAGTGAAACTTATTTTTGAAATATGTATTTCTTTCAAGGCGAATCTGATCGAGATGGAACCAGAGCCCAAAGACAGAGCATTCATGGTTCAATAACTCCAAAGTCTTATTTGTGGTACTAGTCTGAACCACTAATGCACTTCTGGACTCAATTGTCCTTATAGAAAATTGAATGAAACTGCCCGATACTTGATGAAATTCATATGAAAACTCACTAATAATTTATTTTGTTTTGATTTTTACTGAAAAAGGTTTCGCTTTTCATAGCCTTCGTCAAGCAGAATTTCCAAAAATATTAAATTTGAGGTCCGTTTGCATATCCGCCGTCCGTTTGTACTTTGAAACCACGTCAAGTCCAATTCCATGTAAGTCTAATGATAAAAGAATCCCATATGTTGCCAACTTTGATAGTGACACTGTATATACAGAATTTTCTTGTTTACATATCGTTATAGAGGTTGTCTCAGAATTGCCATTCAAAATTCAGAACTACAATGTTAAAGATGTCCAAATATAATATCGAAGAAAAACTTCCATAAATTATGCTGATATAAAAATTATTTATCCGATTAGTCACAGTACTTATACCGTAATTCAGTGATTATAAAAATAAATCATTCGTATATGCAAAATGTCACTGATAAAAATTATTACAAACCTAAAAATAATTTTCGGTTGAATCAGTTTGGGTTTCTGACAAAAAGTTGAAGTGATACCTACAATATTAAAATCCCCTGAGAGTAATGCTCTGAAAATTTGGGAAGCGTTCAAGTTGATGTTTCTCTCATTCAGTTTTCCTTCAGAGTACCCCAGTAGTTCGGCTATTGCCAGGTTAACATTAAGGAATCCGTCAACTGAACTGGCGATCTTGAAACTTCCGGAGCCCTTGTACACCAAGCCAAGGGGACCGTTCAGTTGCTCGATGAATTTTTCAAGTAACGTCAGTTCCTGTTGCGGAGTTCTTGACCCTCCTAGCCCTTGTATGACTTCTTCCAACTCTCCTTCTACTGGTTGTTCCAAAGTGTCTAGGCTGGACTTCTGGCCCTTTTCTTGAGCGGTTTTCAGTAGTGGTTGCAAAGATGAGAGCTTCTGGAAGTAATCGTCGAAGTTGGACCAGATTTCATCGTTGCCGCTCTTCAAGTGGTAGCGAACTTTTTCTGAAATGTTTGCCAGGATTATTGTGCCTTGTTTTCCGTTGAACGCGGCTATTATCTTCGACGAGTAGTCAATTATTGTGGCTGTCTTGGTGGATCTGCTGAAGACGGCTATGAGAGGTTGTTTGTAGAGGACCTGTCGACCACCCTTATCTGAAAACGAAAGGAAGGGAAATTGCTGACATTCAGTACAAAAAACTCTAAAGGGGTCACAATGACATAATTTTCAATTATGCAGGTTGTTTCCTAATAATATATTCATATTTAGGAAGCATATTTCTGAGTTCATTTTGAGAATAAACTTTGTATAATTATATTTCCTCAACTTGTGATACACTATTAAGTACCTTTGATGTAGGAGAGAATATTACTGTAGTTCTATCGCAACACCATCTTCATCTCCGTCATCCATAGTAACAACTACTAGTAAGACTTCAAAAACCACCGAGAAGTCTTTGATGTTCCTACAAAAGAGTGAGGTCATCCAACACCCCTCTGTTGTCACCATAGAAAAGAACAATGAAGATTCAGAACAAATAATCACGAGTTCATGGGTGGAATTAACTGCAATCGCATCAACGGTATCAACAGAAGAAAGCGATTCTTTTCAGCTCCTTCAGTGGCCACTTCAAGATGAACCTGGTTAACCGAACAAAGTTGAACCGATATACAGATCTACACTGGCGAACAGCGACCTAGTAGTCAACACCGTTGAGCAAGAATGAATTGCGCTGGTCCAGCAGAAGCTAATTATTAGGTTAGTTCAGTTGGAACAGAAAAGGCTCAAACTAGCAGAGTACAGGAGGCAGCAACTGAAGATCCAACAATATCACCAAGAGCAGAAGCAGAAAATATACAGATTGAATTTGTGCCTGAAATAGCAAGAACAAATTCATTTGAAGCAGCAGAAAGATATGCGATAAGGAGCCAATGCTCAACCCTTTCCAATTGCCAATGCCGGGTTTGTCAGAAATGGGATTGTGTTGAATCCATAGCCTCCTTCTAAATCCGCTCAGCAGTTCAGTTCCACAAGATAGTTTCAGTGCAGCCTAGTCTCACCTTTGATCCACTTGTGGAGGCCGGAAAATTACCTTTGAATGATCGAGTACTACCAATCAACAATTGTTATTTTATGATTTGAAGTCTTGTTATCGTAGATTTTTTGCTATACTTCAAAAGAATGTAAAATATACTTAGTAATATTTTGTTGTTACTACAATAAACTACAATCCATTCAGAACCTATTTCAGAACTTTTTGGCACATTATTACTCGTCCTTCGTAGTTAAAATAATATCAATAGTGCTTTCTCAGTAACCGACAAGACTACAAAAAAATGAACATTACTACATTTATTAGTATCGTTTTTAGGTAAAGTAGGCTAAAAGAAAGGTAGATTTTTTTCAAAGTGGGTTCCAGCGTGACGGAGCTACTAAAGCTTAGTAATAAGTGTGAGTGTTATTTTTGAACTTTGAAACCACGTCAAGTCCAATTCCATGTAAGTCTAATGATAAAAGAATCCCATATATTGCCAACTTTGATAGTGACACTGTATATACAGAAAGTAATCAACCTAGTAAAATACCAACATATAGGTAATATTATTTCTGAAAACAAGTTAATCTTATCGAAAATACTATATTCATAAGACGATCAAGTATTCAGAATATTAATATAAGAGTTGATGACTTTAGAATTCCCCAGCACCCAACAAAAAAACTTGAAGGTCACTTCTCATAAAACTCAGTATTAGCTTCATTGAATATCAGTACAGAAATATTAAATTCATCATTCAACTCACTCCGCAGTGAAATTAACAGATTGAAAACTATTCAATGTCTGTTTTAATATCTATTGTAATCTTTTAAGTATTAAATTTCAATAGGTTAGGTTAGGTTAGGTTAGGTTAGGTTAGGTTAGGTTGGGTTAGGTTAGGTTAGGTTAGGTTAGGTTAAGGTACTAGTTAGTGAACATTATGTGAAACAATTATGGTGGAATGGAAGAACGGCTATAGCCGAATTGCCACCTTTTGTGATGCAAGCACTCTTAGTATCCCACAATAAATATTTCCATCATCATCACTATTATTATCCCACTTACCAGACGACCCATGGCAGACCCAAGAGCAATATTCATCATTGGCTCTGATCCCAAAGGGTTTCGCATGGTGACCATGATGCTTCACCTCTGCATGGTGGTGTCGATTTGCCACATGATGGGCTTTCTCGTGATGAGGTTTGGCATGGTGGGCCTTCTCTTGATGGATTATCTGATGGTGTTTCTTCTCGTGGATGTTTTTCGGATGATGTAGCTTTTCGTGAGGGTGCACAGGTTTGTGTTCCTCGGCTGAAAATATTGATGGAGTTACTGAAAATCCTTGTAGAAATTTGTATCGATTTTAGTAGGGCATTTGACACTATACTAATGTCAATTTGGAATCATATAGGAATATCTGAAGATGGTGTTTAATTCTTTAATAATCATCTGTGGGAAAGATATCAGACTGTGACAGTAGGAGTCAATCAGTCGAACGTTCTTGAATTGAAGTCGGGAGTGCCACAAGGTTCAATCCTAGGTCCACTAATTCTTTCTATTTATACCAGTCAGCTTGTTTAAGGCTTGTGTACAAGTTAATTAAGACATCAATAATTTTTTTGAAACTGCAATTGATCATTGTCTAGTTGGAACCAAGCCAAAAATAAGCCAAGCCAAATAATTGAAGACAAAGTAAAAATGAAAATACTTAACAAAGACCTGTCCTTCTTAGATCAAGCGAAATGTCTGGGGCTCATTCTTGAAATTAATTTGAGATTCGAAACCCACGCAATATAACTTATTCAGAAGGCTTATGGAACTCTTAAGATTCCTAATGGAAATAGAAACTTTCTCACAAATGCAACAAGAAAAATGTTATGTGATAGTTTAGTTTTGTCTACCCTGAACTTTGCTGATTCAGTGTACGGTCCCTACTTAACGAAAGCATACGTGCAAAAAATCCAAAAGATTCAGAATTCCTGTTTAAGTCAAATTGGATGAAACGGGTTGGTTGAATATGGCAATTGGCAATTGGCAATAAACAAGCTGCATGCAGCTTGTTTATTTCAAATCATAAGGAAGATTCCGATTCACTTTTATGAAAAAATTCCATTTCGATGTTCATACAATCCATTTTCGATTAAAAGGTACTTTAACTCCACCAATTCACCATCATGAATTCTTTAAACGGTCCTTCAGTTACCAAATTGGCTACGTGAACGACGGTATACCAAAAGAAATTTAAAAAATAAATGTGATTAGTTTTAAGAAATACTATAAGATTTTTTTTGTGAAAGCAATGAATCAAATAATAAGTATATTTCAAATCCTTGAGTTGTTAAGAGACCCTGTTATTGTTTTTTTTAATCTTTATTCTACGCATATTCCATAATGTTAGGCTTGTGTGAGGTTAACTGGTAGAAAAAATCAGTAATTTCGAATTATTGATTTGAATTTCGCCTTTGATGTCAGCCCTAGGATCAGAAATAATTTTCCAAAAGTAAAGAATCTACATGTATCCTACATTGACCAGAATGAAGACACATTATTATTATTATTACTATTATCATCATTATTATGTGTAGTTCAAGCTCAGAAATTTGTTAGGTGACTCAAACAGTCAATCAAAATATACTTTTTTTATCCGATTGGCATTAAACGTCAATTTTAGTGACATTTATCGATCATTGAGGTGACATTTTCAATGCTTTGGCATTGAAAATGATTTTTAATACCTAGACGTTTCTTTTTTTAATCTCGTTCTGTATAAGCACCCGACCAAAAACCATACTCCAAAATTACTGTAAGTATATTTTTGTGGAAAACATAATTGAACGCAAGTACTTACGAAAAGAACGACCAAATTCAGAATTTCATTATAATTCCAACTCTAAAACACAGAAAATGGCGAGCATATCACAGAATATAACTTCCAAAGAAGTAAGTAAATGAAATCCTATAATATCAATGATATTATAGGATATTCTGTTGTTGATATTTATAGTAATGTGCGAACAATTTTTCAACAGTATTCCACTTGATAATCATAGGATAATAATATTCATTTGTGAAGTACTGCTACAACCGACGCTATGTTGTTCTTTGGGATCCAAGAAAAGTCTTTCACTAACATTTGTTTCTGCAGCTATAGAGTCTTCAATATAACCTTCCACTATTGTTGATGATCTCCAATTCCCATGCATTTTCAACATGGTTATGTCTCCTCCAGAGTTCACTAACAATTTAGCAAAACGTTTGTGGAAACAATGACCAGTAAATTGATGTGAGTTTGGTTATTTTAATAATTCTATAATTTCTTCTGGATGGATACCAATACGTTATTTGTATGCCTCACCATTGGTGTATTCAAAAGAAAACAGATAACCAACGCGATTAATCAACCTTCTTCATATTTTCTGTAGAAGTTTTAATGTTCCACTACAACAAATCAGTGTATTTCTTTGTCTTTGTGTCAAGAAGAGTAATAAATGATATTTCTTCCATATCTTCAATTCGATCTGTCAAATATCCGTATTTTTCAATTACATTATTCCAAGCATAAAAGATCTTCCGAAAATAAGTCTGTCGATCTCTGCTGCCTAACACCACACTGATGATCGCTCAAAATTTTAAAACATTCTGAATATTTAACAGTGTTTTGATCAATAAGTTTTTCATGTTTTTCGATATCACAAAGTAAATAGTCCATAGTTTTTCGGAAGATTTTTTGTCCTTTTTGGACACATGAAATACTCAATGGAACATACAGAATCGAAGTTCAAACCAAGCAGGTTTTCTCTAATTACTTCATTCAAGGGTTTATAAAAACGCCATATGTCTTCTATTTATAAGAGGACTAAACTTAGTATGCTCCTTATATGTGTTTGGGATATGTCTCATATACGGGTTCTAATACAAAATTTGAATAATATCATATATGACTCTATTTTCGACAAAAGGGAGAATTTTTTAGAACTGAGTAAGCCTGAGAACTGCTTGAATCCCAAATAATGCTTTATCGAATAAAAATGTGTAATTTTTAACAAACATTAGTAAAATTCCATCTTACTAACGAAACTCATTTTGATATAACTGAAATATTCATTTATGAAGCTATTATTTTCAATAAAATTTGGATTATCCTTTCACTTGCACCGTCATCGTTACTGCATAGTGGCTGACTAACCATGATAACAATGGGAAATCAAGGAAGTATCATGGAACATTGACTTCGAAAAATCTATCACAAATATTGCTTCATTTTTAAAAAACGGATTTATGCAGGAATGTAGAGTAATTCAAAAAAAGGTTGAAGATCAAAATTGAAAATCTTAAAAATGATATGAATATGAAATTCAACAAATTTTCATTTGATTTCGACATTGGTCAAACAGGGAGAACTTTTGCCAAGAAAATGAAAGAAAATAGTACTTAATCGTTTTTTAATGCAAAATTTTTGAACCATATTTAGCATAGGGTCAATTATCATTATGAAGTGTTTCACTTGAAGAATGAGGTTTGAAAGTCAAAATTTCATGGAAATTTGTTGAAACTGATTCACAAAAAAATTAATTAATTTATTTTTTTTTTGTTTTTCGGAAATATTTTGTTTGGAGAAACAGCAATACCTATAGTCTACGAAGATAGAAGTTAGGAGCATTTTGCACTCACCTTTGTGTCCTGAAATACAAACTGAACACGTCGCACCGACAACTAATAGCATTAGAAGCAAACGCATTTTAAATGAAACTATGCTTGCAAAAAGCTGAGCCATTATATTTATAGGTATCGATTTTCACATTAATTTCTATTATTCGAAGAATTCTTCGAAAATATTTTCAGTCCATTAAGCCAGTAAGAACGAAACGTCATATCTGAAACATTCGCGATAGGAACATTCTGGAAATGAATAATTGCATTAATGTCCAGATTTGCATTGGCATGAAATTGGGTAACATTTTTTCAGGGCATTGTTATTCAATGGAATTTTCCTTTATTATTGTTTCAAAAACAATTTTTACGAAGAAAAAACATTTGCGGCCTAGAGATAAGGAAATATTTCTTCCAGGAAAATTTACCACTTTAGTAAGTTTCATTTAGATATTGAATCTGTGGATACGAATGATTCAAAAGCCGTTGAAAGCTAATTATTTAGCCTGATATTCGAAACACGGCAATAAAATAGTCATAAAAAATAGATAAAAATGTAGATAACTGAAATGAAAATTTCTCGAGATACAGGGCCCGGTGCAAGGCTCCTGAAATAATTTTGAATAATTTTGTCTGCCTAGACAATATTGAGAAAGATCTGGCGACACTCTACTGATATAAAAAATTGTTATTTGTAGAACTAACACGGCTCATGCTTTTTATGATTTTTCGGATACTAAGAAAATCCTGAAGATTAGAATTTCCAAATGTTTATAAGAATTCAACTACTTTCCTGATTAATACTACGACAGATGTCTCTCAAATCTTTTTTTCTCAGTGATTTTTCAGGGTTCCTATAAAAATATGTGTTTTCATATATTACCTGCCTCCAATGAGAATGGAGGTTCATTTTATCACACATTTTTGTTGACGGGAAAAAAATAATGAAAACATGGCCAAGGACATAGGTCCTTGATATGAAATTATTCATTTGATGAAATAGCACTGACCCTCGATACTTACTGAAACATAATGGTTTGGTTAATTTTTTATTCGTGAAAAACTAGTTTTCTGTAAAAAATTATGTAGCTTTTGTAATAACGAGTCAATTTCAAGCCAGGCATTAATAAAGTAATTTTCTGAAATTAAATATACTTTAAAAAATTAAAAAACACGCTTTTAAAGATCATCGAACTAAAAAGTTAAAAATATTTTTTTAAATAAGCTTAAAACAATAACGAACGAAAAATACTAATATTATTGTGAAAAAAGCGACTGCCGCTCGATATACAAAAAATATGGCTCAAAGCGCCCACGCTTTTTTCACAATAATAGGTACTAGTATTTATCGATCATTATTGTTTTAAGTTTATTTAAAAAGAATATTATCTTTTTCGTTCGATGTTCTTCAAAAGCGTGTTTTTTAGTTTCTTAAACTATATTTATTTTTCATTTTTTAGTTTAGTATGCTGAAAAAGCGTGTTTTTTAGTCTCTATCTAAACTTTGGGATCAATTAGTCGGATATTTTCCGATTCCGGAAAAGAAGCCTGAAAATCAGCCACCAAGCCCAAGGCAGCAGGCGCGCAAAGGAGGGTTACAAATAAAGCAGCAGGCGCGCGTGTTAATGAAAAAATACGTTTTTCAAATGAATAAATATATGTAAAGTGAGTTCGAATTATATCAAGGATGTTACGTACAGCGCCATCTGCCCGCGAATAGATCATGCAATAATGTCGATATATCAAGGAGGTTACATAAAGCGCCATCTGCCCACGAATAGATCAAGCAAGGAGAGTTATAAACAAACAAAACATACATACAGGTGAAACTAATATAAAGCGTGTAAAACAATAATGTCACTTTCTCTTGACTCCCAGAAAACTGTATGAACTAATGTGTAGTTGTAATTTCCAAAAATTGACAATTTCGATTTCAATGTTTCAATCAAGCTACTCACTGAGTACTGTATTATAGAATACAATAACAAAATAACACAATAATGATACTAGGAATCAATTCAATGGCATTCAAACGAATGCATATAAAGGTTCTAAGATTTCATTGTAGTTACCTCTTGATGATGTTAACATGATAAGCGAAACGCGCGTCGAAAGTCACATTAATACTGTTCTGGTGTTGAAAAAAACAATGAATTGAAATTTGGGATAATGAAATTAATGCAAGAATACTTTATTTTGAAATGAAATTGACAGATGAAACTTTCAAGATGGCGACTGGGCGCCATCTGGGAAAAAAGTTAATGGAAAGGGGGTCTTGTGATAAATCTTTTCGAAGATCCTAACAAATGCTTCACAACCCTAGAATATAATGTCAATGTCTCCAACTACTACAAAATGGCGGAACTTCTAATAATTGCCTGAATACATTTACATTTAACTACATAATATGAGATAATAAGCTTGAGGTCAGTTCAGAAGATGCTCGAAATGGTTGCCTTGAACTTCTTGACATATGAACAATCTATCCGATATTTCACGCCAAACATTTTCAAGCACAGTACCGTCAATATCTCTACAAATATTAATTATTCTGTGCCGTATATCCAATATTGAAGCAGGTTCAGTTTCGTACACCTTTTGCTCCAAATATCCCCATAAATAAACTCCAAAGATGTCAAATCTGGCGGGTGGGCTAGCCATTCTGTAGGACCTTGACTGCCAATCCAACGACCGGGAAAAGTAGTACCCAAATAGTTTCTTACTTTTCTGGAGTAATGTGGTGGTGCTCCATCTTGTTGGAATACAATATCCATATCGAATTCATTGTGATTCGCTTCAATGATGAGAGGGTCAACAGTAGTTTCCAGCATATTCAAATACAGTTTCCCTGGTATAGAGGTCCTACAATATGGTTTCCCAATATTCCTGTCCAAACGTTGATTTTTTCTGGATATTGGGTATGTGTTTCCCGGAAAACGTGAAGGTTGGTGTCACTCCAATAACGGTAATTTTGTCTGTGAACATTGCCGTTTGAAAAAATGTGCATTCGTCACTAAAACAAATATTGTGGAGATAGGTAGAATGCCTTGCAATGGTTTCCGTCATGATTTCGCAAAATTCTGTTCTTCGATCAGGGTCATCTTCAGTGTACCAGTGGTGTACCATTTTAATTTTGTATGGATGATACATATTCCTCTTCAAAAGTCTCCACACAGTAGAAAGAGAAACCTCACAAACATTCGCGACGGAATAAGTAGTCTGTTCAGGATTTACTACAATCTCACCAATTATTTGCACTTGCTGTTCTTCCAGAATGGACGGATTACCTGAGGGCGTTCTGTTATGTACACTACCGGTAGTTGTGAATTTAGATACAATTTCCCTCAAATATTTTCTACAGATAGTACGATTAGGAAAACGTTCATTGAAAATCCTTTCAGTCTCGTGAAAGTTACGCGTCGCACCGTAAATAAAAATCGCTTAAATTTTTTCTTCCAATGGACGAGAATTGACCATTTTAGAGGTGACGTGGTACCTTTCTACTGGTAAAACGGACGTTTTTATAAACAAAAAATAACGTAACAAACCTTATTGGGTTATTGGAATTGCCATATGACAGATAAAAAGGAATATTTCTAGAAATATCGATATTAATGTGTTTGTCTTCAGGAAAATAATAAATGTACCGCCATTTTGTAGTTGGTGAAGATATTGACTTCATATTCTAGAGTTGTGAAGTATTCGTCAGGAACTTCAAAATGATGTGTCACAAGGCCCCCCTTTAGATCAAATTTTTTTCCAGATAGCGCTCAGTCGCCGTCTTGGAAGTTTCATCTGTCAATTTCACTTCAAAATCAAGTATTCATGCATTCATTTCATTATCCCAAAATTCAATTTTTTGAGTTGACTTGTTCAAAAAATAAAAGAGGGGGGGCATTAAAGGAATGCACTGTATAATATCTGCATGTGTCTAATCTTAATTTTGATAATTTCAAGTTGAAAAATAAAACCTCAGCGATCTTCAACGAGCGCAACTTTCAACTTTGGGAATTCACGTGATGATGAATCAATGACATCTTCGTTAATACGAATCTTATTTTGTTACGGAAGTACAAGGTTCTATAAATTCCAACATCCATAAGAAATCCCTAGGAAAATTATTTCATCTTGTCGCAAACTGTGTTAGAATTGTAAAAACTTCCGAAAAAGGCGAATCTTTACTATTATTTGAACAAATCTTTATTAGTATCAGAAAATAGCCTATCAAGAGATTCGAAACTACCATTGTCACAAGAGGGCGCTAACGACAATGCAAAACTGAGGGAAACCAAAGAAATAGTTTGGATGTTTGTCAACACAATAATGGAAATATGAAGACTAAAATTTTTTACTGTTATTTTTCATTTCTACGCTATTTTCTTCTGATGAACTGTTCATTTTCGTGAAGTTTTCTTTTAGTGTCAGTGGATCGCCAGCCTCGTGTTCTGGGTACCTTTGTTGATAACTCCTCGGCCACCTAGGAATCATGGCCAGTAACGCAGCAGAATCATTCTTACAAGAAAGTTATCTGGTCGAAATGTCTGTAATCGGGGCCAAAAATTTCGTTAAACACACTGTCGCTAGCGTCAATTAACCATTAACGTATATATTGTACCAGCTCAAAGAACCATATTTTTCGATAGTCATTATAAACAGCCCACAATTTTGTAATTGTTTTATTTACCATTTACCTTCGTGTTAATATTCCGATAGACGTATCTGAATGATTAACGTCTTTATCAATGTAAGAATGTAAAATTCTACAAAAAAAAAATGACCGAATATTCAAATAACTCTCATTGAATTTTATTGTAGATCACCACCAACTTGTCCGGTTATCCAATGTGAATAACCGAACATACCTTGATTTCCACCTGCCATTTGTTTGTTATCCGTCAGTGTCATTTGTTGAGGTTAGAATCTTAATAAAGGTAAATATCAACATTGATTTGCAATTGAAGACCATCATGGACTTATCACTTTGATTCAGACAAACTTTTTTACGAAATGGGTAACGCTGGAAGCACAGGCGCCCCGCGAGAGAGGCAACATAAGCTCAGCGAGGTTATACCGTGTTCCCCCATAAAGGAAGGACAAGCTTTTGTGTTCGACAAGAAACCGGAAGGTAAAGTGCAGTTCCAAAGTCTGCAAGAAGAGGAAGTGCCCTATTTCACCAAACCCATAACTGCACGTGAACAACCTAGGCCCAGATCTAACACAGGTGAGTGATTCTCAACTATTGGGATAGAAAAGGATGGATATTCTTAGCTCCTGGTGTATGAAAGTAGTAGAAATTTGGGCATGACAGATCCGTCGAAGATGAATAAATGCTAGGGATAAGATGAATGAAGGAGGAATTTGAAATGAGAGAATACTTTCACTCTCAGCAGTAAAAAGCAGTAGCAGTGCCTATTATCCCAGTAACGTGAACTATGAGTATAATTTTCAACGTCAAGCAAATGTAACGTTTTTCACTTTCAGTCGCATATTCAAATTTGTAGTTTTTTTTATATAATGAAATATCAATCTTCATAACTTAGCAGTTTCAACCAGCAGAGTTCAAAATGTCCCTTTTTGTGCCTATATATGAAAATATTGTTTTGTAAAATGCGTCTGTATATAGCAAACTCTCGATACTCATGTATACATAACATCAGCACATTATGGTGCACTATAAGATAAGGATTTCATTGTTCAGAATAGTTATATCTCATTTCTTTGGGTAATGTTAATAATAATGTACACGTTGTATATGTTAATAATAATTTACACGTAATGTAATATGTCTGTCAATAGGTATAATAGATGAAATTTGCTATACTGTTACACATTTGTCATTTTAATTTGTAAGCCTTGAGGTGCAATACAGGAAAAGTAGAACTTCAGTATCTTATCGAGGGCTGAATTTATCTATCCTCTATTAGTTCAAAATCCGGAGTACCACAATGGTCAATTTTAGGGCCTATGATTTTTCCGATATTCAGAAATGATTTCAAATTGGACTTGCCATGTGGAAGATACTTAAGTCAATCCATTCATGACGGTTGAGTATATTTACAATCTCAGTTGTATAATATAGAAAACTAATAACAAATGTGAATATGATTCTTGAGATAGGACACCAGATCACGTATCTAGATTTGAGAGTAAATTAACATTTGCCGGTCAAGAAAAAAATGTTTCAAATATAAATACGAAACATTTACCCCTCTCATTATAAATTCAAATAAGGATTTGGAAAATGCCCACCGGAAAACAGCTTTCCTGGCTATTACCACGACGGTCGTTTTCTGTCGGATATAATTCGATATCTGACATGGTACTAGTCAGAGAAGCAGGTGTTTTATGACATAAATTTGCAAAATCCTATTGTGTAGGAACGTTGGAAGACGTGTATGATTTAAATTCGATATACGAGGTCTGTTCAAAAAATTTGGTACACTTAATACACTTGTGCCAGCGTTTCGGTTTACATGTCAAAACGCCGTCCTTTCATGGGTCTCTTCAATCTTGGGAACAGGAAAAAGTCGCAGGGTGGCAAATTTGGTCAATATGTTGGCTCAGGCAAGATTACGGTGTCGGTGATTACGGTGGACTACGACACGGTAATCGAAGAAGAGTGGAGCAAAATCGGACATTTGTTAAAACTTGGCGTGCTATTTTCGACCTTGGCTGTCCTGGGCTCGTCCATTGGGACGATCGGACTTTAGTTTCGATGTCATAACCATATACCCGTGATTCGTCACCCTTTTAATCAAATCTGGATCGCCGTTGATGTCATTCAACAATTTCTGAGCGATGCTCATGCAACGGATTTTTTTGGTCAAAATTCAGCAATTTTGGAACAAACTCCGCTGCCACACGATTCATGCCCAAAATCAAATCAAAATCAAAATTCTTTATTGCCTATTTCTCTAGAATAAATCTATGGTCCAATGTACAGAGTATATACACAATATTTACATCTCTCCCACGAACGGGAGTGGGTGAGGGGCAGGTAAAGGGTTGGTAAAGAAAAGGGGAGGATCAGCAGGATAAGACTTTAATATCGAGCCCCAGGACGTCCACAGGGTGAAGCGCCACCTCATAGATCCACGACAGGCCAATGGGAGGCGTCCCCGCTGGTGTTAACAAGTGGCTCTCTGCCCAACAGAGCCTCGTTTCAGCATTCAGTCTAAGACTTCCCGTTTCCTGCCGAGGCTTACGCGAGATTTATAGAGATGTGGCGATTTCGAAACCTCATAACTAAGTATACTAAGCGCGTTTTACAAGAGTATCACTAGCCCCCTGGAAAAAGTTCATGAAAAAACCAGGTAAGCATGAGCCAACCGATATGCTGACATCCTTAGCAACTTCTCTAATAGTGATTCGATGATTCTCCATAACAATTTTCTTCACTCTCACAACATTTTCATCGGTTGTTAATCGGATGTTTCTCGACCTTCTGTTGAAAGCTTGTAACATTTTTCTGAGCGTTTTCTGTTTTTGGAGCATTTAATTCCATTTTTAACACAAAATTTTAAGCAAATTCTTTGATCCATTTTTTCGATAGTAGAAAATCGTCGAACACGCAAAACACTTCTAATTTTTATGCCTCTCACCAATAAACTGAACATGCTAAACAACTGAAAATGTGAACATATGTTCGGGACGAGGACATAAAAAATTAAATAATCGCTAATCGAATGTACGTATCCCCTGTACAAACTAGTACAGAGAAGATCGGATAATAAACGCAATAAGCCTAAGAGGCTGCAGTGTGTTCTGGAGACTTGGACTAAATGGACAAGTCAGACAGCTCCCAAGGTACAAAAAAAACTCTCAAAAGAAAGCTGTTGAAATTTCATGATATTCTACTCATAAGTTTGTGCTAAGCGTGACACTACTTTTGTTATTTTCAAAACAATGGATCGAATACGATTCCGTGTTTTAATTTTACACTGGTTCTTGATGGGAAAAAATACCGTTCAAGCGAAGGAATGGCTTGAAAATTGTTATAAGGACTCCGCCCCATCATAAACAACAATTAAACGTTGGTTTGCTGATTTCAAACGTGATCGTAGAGACACTGATGATGCAGAACGCAGTGGACGTCCAGTGACACCAGAAAACATGAATAAAATCCAAAAAATCGTTTTGAATGATCGAAGTGAAGTTGCGTGAGTTAACTGACATAACAAAGGTATCGAAAAAACGTGTTGGCTTTATATTTCATGAGCATTTTACTATGAAGAAGCTCTGTTCAAAGTGGGTGCCGTGCGAGCTCACTGTTGACCAAAAGCAAGAACGTCTTGATGATTCTGCGCAATGTTTGGCCGCATTTAAACATAACAAACTTGAATTTTTGCGTCGATATATGGCAATGGATGAAACATGGATCCATCGCTTCACTTTGGGATCGTCATCTGAGTAGAGAGCAACTGGTGGACCCTATCCAAAGCGCCCGAAAGGACAACAATCTGCTGGAAAGGTTATGGCTCCCGCATTCTGGGATGTGTGTGGTGTATTATTCATCGACTATCTTGAAAAGGGAAATACCATCAACAGTAAATATTATATAGCGTTATTGGAGCGTTTGAAGGCCGAAATTTCGAAAAAATGACCCCATTTCAAGTATCCATCATAAACAACAATTAAACGTTGGTTTGCTGATTTCAAACGTGATCGTAGAAACACTGATGATGCAGAACGCTGTGGACGTCCAGTGACACCAGAAAACATGAATAAAATCCACAAAATCGATTTGAATGATCGAAGTGAAGTTGCGTGAGTTAGCTGACATAACAAAGGTATCGAAAAAATGTGTTGGCTTTATATTTCATGAGCATTTTACTATGAGGAAGCTCTTTTCAAAGTGGGTGTCGTGCGAGCTCACTGTTGACCAAAAGCAAGAACGTCTTGATGATTCTGAGCAGTGTTTGGGCGCGTTTAAACATAACAAACTTGAAATTTTGCGTCGATATATGGCAATGGATGAAACATGGATCCATCGCTTCACTTCGGGATCGTCATCTGAGTAGAGAGCAACTGTTAGACCTTATCCAAAGCGCCCGAAAGGACAACAATCGGTTGGAAAGGTTATGGCTCCTGCATTCTGGGATGTGTGTGGTGAATTATTCATCGACTATCTTGAAAAGGGAAATACCATCAACAGTAAATATTATATAGCGTTATTGGAGCGTTTGAAGGCCGAAATTTCGGAAAAATGACTCCATTTCAAGTAAAAGACAGTGCTGCCAAAATTTAAAGAAAAACAACCGCATATGGCAAAGAAAAAAATTGTGTTTCATCAAAACAACGCGCCGTGTCACAAGTCAATCAAAACAATGGAAAAACTACATAAATTGAACTTCGAATTGCTCTCATATCCACTCTAATTGCCAGATTTGGCTCCCAGCGACTACTGGCTGTTCACAGACCTCAAAAAAATGCTCGACATAAAGAAATTTCGCTCGAATCTGTTTAAAAATAAAATATTTTTTTCCGTTAACCAGCTGTCGCACCCCTACGAACGACAACCCTTAGAAGTCGAAACGTGTGCGAGCTAAGGATTAACGAGGTCTTACCTTTTAACGTGTGATTCCTAACACGGGTTGGACAATAGCAAGTAAAAATCGATCGTTCAGACTAGGGCTTGAACCACCAACCAATACGGCAGTCAATTCGAGTGACTGAACAAAGCACCCACGTCGAACCGCCTGGCTACCGATGAAGATGTAATTGCTGAAACTGAGGCCTATTTTGAGGCAAAAATCGTTCTACAAAAGTGGTATTGAAATGTTAGAGGGCCCTGGAATCTTGAATGAGAATTGAAGCAATTTTGAACAGAAAAAAACTCGTTTTCTTCCTTATGCCCAGGATTTTTCAGCCCATGTGTGATATGCATAAAACGTATATTCACGATGAATTTATCATTGAAAATTGTTGATAACTATAATAGCGTTTATCTATTAGAATGTGTTTTATGTCATGCTGAAATTGAGAATGTGTTTTATGTCATGCTGAAATCGTTTATCGCTTCTGATCCCTTTGACTACATTTGGTAACTTGTTCTAGCAAGTAATGGCATTATACTGAAGAGATTTCTTGAAGAGTGACATTCTATGTTGAGGAATTCCCAGAAGATCACCATTAGGTGATCGGAAAAGTTTTCTTCAATTTGGTCAAGGATAGAAATTCTTAACTGTATCCCAGACAAGTAAAGTATTTCGAACAATGATTATTCTCTAGGAAGCCTTAATAAAAATTACGTAATTTCAAAGACACAGATAACATGAACTTTGATTCACACTGTAGACATAAATTAGTGATGAAATGCATCCAAACAATTTTCTATGAATTAACAATCAGATGTTTTGTTTTCCTATAATATTATCACGCTCTCGTCAATCACAACTCATCTATTTGTGGAACAAGATAATACCAAAAATTCCCAGTACTCGATAAAATTACCAACTAATACGTGATTTCTAACTGGATCGAACTGCTACATCAAACAGTCACGAAAATCGCCTTTTCTCTCATAATCATCAGCCGGAGAGATAGATTGATAAGCTCGAAATTAGATAAATCAATACAGTTCATCGGCGCTTCAATCCCTAATCAGAATAACAAATCGTTGCACAACAACAAGAGATAACGAAGCAATTGTACGTAAACATCTTGAAGCGACTATTCGAAAAACATCATGCCGAGGTCCCGATCAGTTTCAGAAGGTACCCAACCCTCCACGTCCAGGGCCACGCACACCCCCACTGTGTTCCGATGGGAAGGCGGCGGGAAGAACGTCTACATCAGCGGCTCCTTCTCCAACTGGCAGACCATCCCTATGGTGAAGAGTTATGGGGATTTCGTGGCCATCGTGGATCTTCCGGAAGGTTTTTTTTATTATCGATTTCTCAGAAAATTTTATTCTTGACAAAAGTTGGTGCATGTTCCAAAACTATACCAAATGTACCTGAAATGGCTTTATGACAAACACCATATAGGATAGGCCAAAAAATATAAAGTTCGTACAAGAGTAAAGTACCCTTATTTAAAAAATATAGAAATTTGTTCAAGAGAAAAGTTGCTTCAAATTAAAAGTTATGTTCAGATACGAAGTCATGGCATGCTATTCGATTTTTTTCTTTTGAAAAATTTTGAATTACCCTCGTATGATACTTATTTTTACTATTTTGATTTAATATGTATTTGAAGTAGCCACAATCAAATCAGTTTGGAGTATTGTTTATCAAATTAAAGTGTATTTGTAAAATTTACTTGGATTTGTATTTTTTTAGGTGATCGTCAACTTCATGTTTGTTGCAATGATATTTAACAGAACTCTGGAATAAAACAAATACTCTTTTTAACGAGGCAAAAACTTTACTAAGTATAATGTTCATATGAATAAACTGTCAAAATCTATCGCGGATAGCCATGGACAAAAAAGAACCAATAAGCGATAGTACAGAAAAATACAGTAGGTAACTTAACAACTTAATAGGTGCTAACAATAAAAATTATCGAAGCGTCTCGAACTGTATAATATTGGCATTAGAGGAAATATTCTTGACTGGATCATTTCATTCCTATCAAATAGACAATTCTTTGTAGAAATAGATAGTGTTGAGTCAGAAAGATATTCAGTTGATGTTGGAGTAGCGCAAGGTTCAATTCTGGGACCATTGCTTTTCTTACTATTTCTCAATGACCTCCCAATTAATGTGATGACACAACATTTGGTATAGCTGAGTCATCTATGGAGGATATGATTTTATCAGTTAAACTCTGTATTAGTGAAATGACTAAATATTGTCATTCCAATAAACTGATGCTTAATGCACAGAAAACAAAAATTATATATTTCAATAAGAACAATTTGATCGATTGTGAAGTCCTACAGACACATAACTCCACTAAGTTTCTGGGTGTAATGATTGATAAATCACTCTCATGGTCTGAGCATATTGAAAGTTTATATAAAAAACTCTCCAAATCATACTTCACAATTCTGCAATTGAGGTATGAACTTCATGAGAATATACTTATCCAAGTTTATTATGCATTAGTATATTCTGCACTATCTTTTTACATCACGTTATGGGGAAATGCTACAGAAATAAATAGGATGTTTGTTACACAAAAACGAATTGTTAAAATGATGTTCAACATGAAGCCACGTGATTCTTGCAAGGAAATTTTCAAGAGTAAAAAGATTATGACAGTTTGCTGCATTTATATTTATAAAAGTTGCTTACACATTAAAAAGCATAAAAAAGAGCTAATGAAAAACAATTACCACCATCAATATTGCACTAAAAATGCTTCAAATTTAATAACAATGACTCACAGAACATCCGCATTTGAAAAATCGCCAACTTATGCTGGGGTAAAAATATATAATAAACTCCCTAATCTAATGAAGGCCTGTAATACTATCGAATTAAAAAAATCACTGAAAGATTTCTTATTGGCTAAATCTTATTATACATTACAAGAATATTTNAGGGCGTATGTGTTTTTTGTTCATGGCTATCCGCGATAGATTTTGGATTGGTTTTTAATATCTGTTCTAGTTGAGGCATTGTTGTCAAAATAAAAGAAATTTTATACTTTTTTGACAGTTTATTCATATGAACATTTAGTTAGTAAAGTATTTGCCTCGTTAAAAAGAGTATTTGTTTTATTCTAGAGTTCTGTTGAATATCGTTGCAATAAACATGAAGTTGACTCACCTAAAAAAATACAAATCCAAGTAAACTTTACAAATACACTTTAATTTGATAAAAAATACTCCAAACTGATTTGATTGTGGCTACTTCAAATACATATTAAATCAAAATAGTAAAAATATGTACCTATTCCAAAATTCACCTTGACTCAACACTCTCTGATTTATGAAAGTATTAAAATATATAATCACCTTCCTACTATTAAGCTTATTTTTCGATCCATGAATTCTACGGTGATTACCTTTAAATTCTACTTGACTTTTCAATGTTCACCTAAACTCATCTGTCTTCTTAATGTTTCATTTGTGAAATTGCTTTGTATTTTTTATATTTTATGTCATGTATTGTTTTTTGTATTTTTTATGACATGCATTCAATTCTTCTACAAGACTTTGTCAATAAAATACTAAACTTCCGACAATAAAGCATATTTTGATTGATTGATTGATTATAATGGTATGTGTAGCCAATTAATCAAAAGACTGCAATTAGTAGACTGATTTTCAAATTAATTTCAAATCATACTCCCAAGTTATTAAATCAATTTCAGTACTGAAATGGGAGAATATCAAAATTAAGATTGAACATGTACTAGTTTAGTAATGCTGTGTCAATATCTTTCTGTTTTAAAATCTGTTTTTCCGTTAATCAGCTGTCGCCCCCATACGAACGACAACTCTCAGAAGATGAGAAACTTGTGAGAGCTAAGGACTAACGAGGTCTTACCTTTTAACCTGTGATTCCTAACACGTGATGAAATTGACTGATACTTGATGAAAACCCATAAAGTATTCACTAAACACTTCATTGTAAGATTATCACTAAACAGTTTGAAAAAATGCAGCACCTGTTTCGCTATACAATAGCTTCTTCAGGTTATAAGACAGGTGTGAAGATACGTCTAACAAAGTTATTGTATAGTGAAACACGTGTTGCGTTTTTGTAAATCTTTTTAGCGAAAATGTCACAATAAATACTCTGTCAATATTTTAAAAAAATCCAGCTATTATCCAAAATATCTGTCAACTTTTCCAATGAAAATTTTCGATATTTTCAACAATATCTCAACTTTTGTTGCAAAGGTATTCCAAGCATTAGCCAAAGACAGCGAGAATATCAAAGACGACTCCCAGAAAGAATTCGGTCAAGAAATACCAGCAAATAAGCCCTGGGAGAAAACCAGCGGACCGCCTATTCTACCTCCACACCTTCTACAAGTTATTCTCAATAAAGATACGCCCTTATCGGTACGAAATTGAAGTGCATTTGGCAAATCCAGTTACTTATATATTTATTTATTTTTTTAGTGTGAGCCTACTCTTCTTCCAGAACCAATCCATGTAATGCTCAATCACCTCTATGCTCTTTCTATCAAAGATGGGGTAATGGTGTTGAGCGCAACCCACAGGTATCGCAAGAAATATGTAACTACGTTGCTTTATAAACCAATTTAACGCTATCATCATATTTTTATGTAGTATTATTTCTGTAGATAGGTTTGTTTTTGTGAGCTGTGTATATATAGATAAAGCTAATTAACTGTAGTATTAATTTTATTATTAGTATTTGGGAGAACGAGGTGACGCGAAATCTATACGATAAACAAACCCTATTTGTGAAGCTAACTTATGAATGAATCTGGTATAAACATAATTGAGTATTAAAAGTTTTCACATATAAATAACTAGGTTTTTATTTATTTCATCCCTGAAAGTCTTTCAAGTTTGAAAAAAGCGACTGAACAACTAAAGAATTAACATTGAGTATGTGAGTAAAAATGATCCTCTTTTTTTAGGCTGCTAGTAGAATGCATATTACTGGAGTTTTTCCCAACACCAAACCGTTATTTTAACACCTCGACACGTGTTTCGATCACCAAGTGATCATCTTCGAGAGGAAGATCAAACTGACCAGAATGGTTGGTCGTACGATAAATAAACATTGCTGCAAATTGTTGGGACTTAGCACAACTTAAAAGATAGATATATAGATAGATAGATATTCATTAAATCTCTTATGGTTGCTTTACAACATGAGATAAGTCACAGTACATAAAGAGGGAAATATTCTCATTATATAAACATTAAGAAAAAAACATCACAAACATTCTAGTCATTACAAATTGATTAAGAATAATAAAAATAATGATTTGAACTCAACAAATCATGTATGTACGACTTAATATGAAAAGGGAAGTCCATTAGATAGATACAAACAGGTTAAGTTGAAGTTTAATAAATATTCTCAATCATCTACTGATGATGTCAATTTAGTTGTTGGCAGGCACGTGGAGGTTTGTGGGAGAAGTTCTCTTCTTCTACTAGTAAACAAAGCTTGAACAAGTATATCCCAGATAGTATGAAAACATGAAATAATGAACAAGAATTACTTTTTCCTTATATTTTAATAAAAATGATCAGATCTGTGATAAGGTTTAATATGTTAATTTTTTTGTAAAGAATAATGCAGTCGTTATTTGTGACTTTCATTCAGCTATCCATCGCCAAATTGAAAATTGAGGAACTTGATAGTATCCATACTTTTACTCTGCGTGCTCCTCTCCAAATCAATCTCCATACCGATGTCTTTCACACATTTTTCACAAAATTCCAGATTCCAAGGTTTTGATGACGAGATTAGTGAATCTCCACCTAAGAATATGGAATCAACTGGGAATGCTCTAAACTGCTCTAATGACAGTCAGTTGATTAGGATAAAATTAACGACTGAACCAATCAACTGAGTAAAGTAACTGCCTCTTGCTAGACCAGAAAACTTCTGAAATCGCAATCCCTCAGTAGTCCGAATTGTTGTTTCAATAAAATATTTTTGAATCAACATATATAATGAATGCATCTTACTAGCATCTGGGATTCCATAACTTTCATATTCACAAAAGTTTATATTACTCATCAAAATATAAAATGATGAACTTATCAACCAGGCTGGCACAGTTTGATCAAAATTTTTAAAATATATTTGCGTGTAATAAATATCTGGTTTTTTGAATCTATCACGTAATTTCTGTATCCCACCAGTTGCTGTTTCAAATCCATAAGCAATAGGCTTCAAGTCTTCTGGCAGATTCTTAAATCTCTCAAGTAGTGGTATAGCAAATATTGCCTCTATAAATGTAACAGTAGCAGGATAATACCAGACTGCCCGTGTTTCTGTTTGCCCTACTTCAGAAGTATGAGTACGCAAATGAGCTATACAGTCAGGGAAGGTAATGACCTCTCCGTTCTTAAGTAAATGGGCAAACTTTCTCACCCTACGTATGGCATCAGGATCTTCACGTATTGCATCTTTTGTTTTATAGCCCATATCACACCATGGTAAACCAGAAGGCATTGGCCATATATCTAAATCTTTTCTTTCAAAAACATCAATTAAATGAAGAATTTTGACTCTTTCCTGTAATTTGAACTGATCGAATGCCTTTAAAATTGCTCTATTTATTGTCCCTGAATTGGGCTTATCATTACTATGCAGAACAAATTTTTCTAAATCAAGACGAATCGTTGACTCCAAAACAGGCGACCGCCACAAACCATAGCCAAAATATGGTATACTTGGAGAAGAATCCACATTATCATCAGTACAAAAGCTATCAACTTTTCCAAGGTATAAGAGCATTGGTTCAGTAGTCATTTTCACTAGAGTGAGTCATATAGGTATTACATAACCTGAATTTGGACAGAAAAGTAAAATATTAATGGTTACTTTCAATAAAGAATATTAAGATGATTATACATACACATACAGTCGTTATATGATTGTTCTCGTTAAGTCGTAAACAGTGATGTTCCTGGGTTAAAATTTATTATAAGTACTAGAAATGGACTCTTTTTCGTACCAGATTCAGTTATGAGGTAATAGATTACTGAATTTTTAGGTTATAGTTTTTGCGACGTTAGTACGTCATATAAAATTAACCTTATGAGGCGAGTATTTAACTTTGAATGAAAAACTCAATATTTTCAAATTTATTTGGAACATTCGTTAACAATAAAACATAGGAAAGAAAAATACATTTTTTAACAAAAATATACATTCTTATACATGAAAAATGACACTTTTATTCGTAATTAATGTTACTGCACTTATAAGGACATTTTCAAACGACTGAGTTTATTGTAATTGTTACGAATAAAAGTGGTAAAAAACATGAAAGTTTTATTTCTCATTTTTTATGATCTCCTACCACGTAGCAACTACATCCATCAATTCACTTTTATACAAACAAAAAATAACTACTTTAACAAGATTTTTTGTAATCAGTTCGGTGCATAAAAATAAAATATTCATTGATGATTCACCGATTATAAAGGATAACATATTTATTCAGAACCTCAGTATTTTCTGTTTTAGAGTGATTGTACTTCAGCAAATTATTGTTGGGTTCAAAATTGTATGATACTCACTTTACTGCAAGTTCATTTTTTGTATTGACTTTTATCAAATTCTCTCAGCAGCTGCTGAGATGTGAATCACATCAGCCGCTAACCACCATACCAGTACCTAACCTTTTTTTTGTGGGTTATCGCTTTTGAAAAACACCTGGGTGGCTCATCGGTATTCAACTACTTTCCTGAACATCTGTTGTAGAGAATACACTTTTCATTACATGTGACGATCCGATTCAATAAAGGATGGTTTTGGTTGCGCAAAAGCAAAGAAGATACCTCGAAACGTGGAAATTTCTGTCGATCGTTCAAATCGTGGGGCACCCACTTGTTGACCTTTCCAATACGCTTTAAATCATCAAAAACCGCATAAGAACTGACGACCAGTTTTTCCGCCACCCCATGCACCGTCAGTCTCCACCAGGGTCCTCAAATCCTCGTCCCGGATTACTGAAGGTCGACCACTTCAGGGTTCATCTTCAAGACTAAAATCTTCCCAACGAAATTTCGCAAACCAACGTCGAACACTGCATTTATTAACAATATCATTGCCAAATGTCTGCCTTTTGGTTCAATTTGAATTCTTAGAGAAAAACTGACTGAAAATCGCTCAACATCATACAGTAACAACCTGAAAAGAGGCAAAAAAATACAAAAAGTACAAAATTCTTCATTGATCAGGATATACCACAAACAGTATACCGGTAGAATTTAGTTAGTATGAAAATGCCTGAAGAATTTTGTCACCATACAATAAATATTTTATTGTTTTCACGTACATTTTCTTAGTTTTAGTCACTATATTTTTTAATTTTTATATATTTCTGTATGTAGTTATTATCTATAGTTGTAGGGATAATTAAAATATATATTCATTGATGCATTCATTTACAGGTCCTCTTTTATTTACAAATTAACCACAATTATTTGTGTATCACAGAAAAAGAATTGTGATGGTACGAGAGAGGATCTCCTTTGGACAAATAAATGAAATATTTCATTTTGTTTCTCCATATTTGTGGATTCACCGAAAATCATTTTGGAGGCTACTTTTAAATTTACTTTTTCGAGAATCCTAGTCTAGCCCACACACACAATAACCTGAAGTATTGCCTTTTCTTGAAAAGTTCAAGATATATAAAAAAATTACCTTGATTTGCATAAAACATTTCCCCCACTCAAAATCAAATTTATTAACAAATGTACAATATCAAATGAATGTCTAATGACTTTTCATTGCACAGTCATGACCAAGTTAATTTACAACTAGACGACTTAGATATACCAGTAACTTCATAAACTTGTTGAAACATCGTTTATTAAATAAAACCTTCAAATATAAAATTCAACAAACATAACACAATAAAATATGTCAATCATTCTCAATACTATGTTTCGACTTAAGGTGCGTCATCAAGGACACTTTTTGATGGAATCCCATGCTGCAATATTCACAAATGAAAGGTTTCTCATTAGTGTGTTGTCTCCTATGAACTTTGAGAGCGTTAGTTGAGGTGAAACCCTTATTGCATGTCGAACACTTGTGAGGTCTCTCTCCAGTATGAGTTAATAGGTGACGTTTCAGCTCACGGACTCGTTTGCCACATAATGTGCACATTACCTTACGTGCATTGGGATCTGGAATCATCAAAAAATTGATCAGAAGCAGGTTTGAAATTGAATGTTCATTTCAATGGCTTTTTCATGGCATGTATTATTTCTTCTTCATCATTTAAAATGTGTCTTTCACGGTCAATTCTATGTTTATGAATTGTGTAGTGTTCAATTTAAAACAAGGCTGAATTGATAGGAAATCACCATTTACATGTCAACAAATAAGAAATAAAGCTTTGAAAGATAGAGAGATAGATATTTGAGGTTTTAATCATAAAGGTTTTACATACGTGAAGAACGTGGCAAATAGTAAAATACATTGAAAGTAAAATACAAATTACAATTGAAATAAATCAAACAAGACAAAATCAAAATAAAAAAATCAAAATAATTTATTCGCACCCGCTATATGTCAGCCATCCTTAGGATAGATGTACACGTCAAATACTTTTACATTGAATAAAATATAATAAAATGTCACAAACACTAATAGTACTGAAGAACAGACAAACATGTGTAACTCTTAGACAACAAGTAGATCAAAAATCATCATTCAGGAAATCACTGATGGAGTAATAGGCTTTTTCACACAGAAATGTTTTTAATTCTTTTTCAAATTTTTTATGGTCCGGATTTTTGAGATGTTTAAGTTTATTAAATATCCTTATAGCTGCGTTGTCTGGAGACCTTTCAAATGTCTTCAGATTATGATTTGTAACTAAAAGTGCATCCGCGTTTCTTGTAGGATATGAATGGTAATCCGAGTTTTTTGTGAATTTATTAATGTTGCCTTTCATATATTGATAATTTATATAGATAAATACAGGGAAATGTTAGAATATTGTACTTTGAAAAAGCGGCATTATAGCTGTTTCCATTTTTTATATTAAAAATGAGATGGATAATTCGCTTTTGACATATGAACGCTCCTCCAGAATTTACACAATCCCCACATAAAATAACATTATATGCCAAATGGGAGTAAATCAATGCATAGTAAGAATCAATAAGAGCCATCTGATTCACCGTAGACTTCAGTTTTAAAATTGCATAGAATCCTGAGCTTAATTTCTTGCAAACAAGCTGCAGTTGGTCACTCCATGTCAAACACTGATCTAGGTAGGCCCCTAGAAATGTTGTATTGGTACTAGTTGATACAACATCCATAGTTGTGTTATTGTGTATTTCTCAAAATGAGATTATTTCTATTACACCAATTTTCAAATGAATATATAATGTGTGTAATAGCATTTTGAAGTGCCTCTGGAGTCTGCACTGTAACCACTACTGAGGAGTCGCCTGCAAACATTGTGACAGATCCTGTTGATAAGAACGCAGGCATATCGTTTATAGTGGCCCCAGTACAGACCCCTGAGGCACCCCTATATCATTCGTCATATACTCAGAACAACAGTTTTCAACTTTAACATATGATTCTCTATTAACTAGGTATGACTGCATAAGTTCAAGAATATTTCCTCTAATTCCATTTGTGCACAGTTTTTGTAAAAAAGCACATACTCTATAAACAAATTATGGTCAAATTATCTAAATAAAAATAATTAAACTCTGTTAAGTAACAACCCAGATCAATGTAGGTCTAATTGAAAATATTCAAAAACTAGCACTTTGAGATGATTTCATCAAAATTTTCACTAATAGATCAGGAACTCACCTTCGTGCTTTTTCAAGTGCCGGTGATACTCCGACTTCACTTTAAAACACCTTCCGCAGGATTCACAGGTGTATGTTTGACCTTTGTGAATTAGCAAATGTCCACGCAAAGAACCAGAGTTTTTCAAAACTTTGTCACATATTTTACACTTTATTGGATCCTCCGAGTGCGACTGAACATGCTTTTTCAAGTTATCTGCACGAACCACTACACCACAAATATTGCAAATACCTGGAGCTAGGTGAACATTTCTTTTGTGGTTATACATGTCAGTATAAGAGGCGAAAGTTAAGTGGCACTCTTCACATTCCCTCAACTTAAACTTTTTTCTGTATTTCTTAGTTTTGTCATTATCATTAAGACTTATATTCTCGATTTCATTTTTGATGTCTGTTTTGTCATCATCAAAACTGCTGGAATCTTCCCTGCAGGTGTCATCAAATTCGACTGGTTCATCTTTGATAGTAGCCTCACACTCTACTCTTTGCTTTGCACTCGTATCTTTTTCTCTGTTGACAGGTTTCTTGTCTAGTTTTCTAAGCTTAGCTTTCTTATCATTGTCTAAATGGCTTCTAGTTCTCGATCTTTTTCTAGCAGTATTTAAAGTTTTGTTGCATTTATCCTTCAAGTCCTTGTCTGCTTTAACAACAACTTCTCTGAAGCAGTAGAATTTGTTGAAGTTCTCTATGCACAATTCACAAATTGTAGAAGGATAGTTGCTGTTATCCAGGGAAATCTACAAATATTTCTTGGTGCCTACATTTGAGGAGTTCCTTTTAACTGAACTTACCTGAACTGATGTGAGGGTTTCTATTTTATCAACAAGGGTAACATCAGTTCGTATTGGAAACAGTTTAGTGGAAGAACTAAGACAAGTTCTGCAGATATCCTTCATTTTAATTATGCATAAATAATAAATAAAAATTAGGACCAAATACTTTTTGTAAATTCTTGAAATAAACAAATTTGACCTTGAACTTCGACCAAAATCACGAACCACGAAGTTATTCTGTGAGTTTAGTGGACATTGTTACCAATATATTAGGGATATTTTAGTGTTAAAGAAGGCCTGTTATCGGAAAATAAAATAAATTTGAAGTTATGGCAGATCAAGATCTTCAGATGGTGTGGTGCTGCAGGTTTTTCCGGGTTTTCCTGCAGCTGAAAAAGCAAATGTGCTATGTATAACATATTTGAACAATAAAGAACAAAGTCCTGAATCGAAGGTTTCAAGAAATATATATTCCGATATTTCGAAAGGGGACTGTTTCAAGCTAGGAAAAATATACACATTCTCAACTACAACACATTTTTGAAATAATCATTCATCTCTGATGATATCTTGAACACTTTATTCTTTTTGTGTAGAAAAATGCGTTATCAATAGCATATCACAATCAATAATTTTGCCTTAAGAGAACTGAGTGCTCAACGTTTTGGAGAATAAAATCTACCTCCGTCATCTGTATCAAAAAAAAATCATTATATTAGTTTTCCCAATTTTCTTGAAAAATTAAAAAATCATTTCAGAAGTGACCGGCCTCCGGGATAATAGACATAACATGAACTATTGTAATCCTTTATCCTTTCATGAATAACGATTATGTGACGATAGATGATGGGTCAAGGACACGCGAAATGTGCATTCTTTGAATAATCAATAATTATCCGTGAATAATTCCACTTGATATTGATTTCGTAGTATCCCTTGTAAAAATTCAAGCTACCACAATGACAGACTTGCAGTCTAGAAGTATAAAGGAGTTCAATATTCCTGTACCATGGGGACATATAGCCGGTAAGTATAAAAAATATTTAACTTTTGTAGATCTTGCAAAACTGGGAAGCTCAATCATACCATAGTTTATAGTCCAATCTTCACCTGTTTGTCAGTTATTACATAATGACATTATATCTTCTTCTCTTTTTAATTAATGGGCTAAACTTTCCAGTCTATTTGACCGTACTAGGAAATTAGTTGTGATTGTTTCACATTTATTTATTTCAGTTAAAGCCTGGGGAGAAAAAACTGAACAACACGTTTTCGTAGTTCATGGACGAATGGACAACGCTGGAGCATTCGACCAGCTCATTCCCTTACTGCCTCGAGAATTTTATTACGTCTGCATTGATTTGCCAGGTCATGGAAGGTCTTCTCATTTTCCTCCTCATCTGCCTATACACAGTGTAGACTTTCTAATAGCCTACAGGCTGATCTTGGAACATTTTAGGAAGAACAGAGTCATCTTTCTGGGGCACAGCTATGGAGGTCAGTTAGCGTTTCTTTTCTCCAGGCTTTATCCAGAAAAGGTATATTCAATAGTTTATGTGTCAAATGTCTCTAAAATTTCATCCTCATTTGTATTCACATCTTCAGAGAACCGTAAAAATCAAGTAACTGCTTTTTTCCAGGTTGAAAAAATTATACTGATCGATATTATGCGGCTACATACAGTCGAAGTAAGTGGTTTTAAGAAATACCTCACAGATAGGATAGAAGGGCAAATATTATTAGAAAAGAAAATGATTGAAAGAACGCAACCAACGTACACTTATGAGGAAGCTAGAAGCAGGATAAGTTTAAATAGATATAATGATACTTTGACGCCCGAAGCTGCCGATCGACTTTTGAAAAGATGCTTAGAGCCCGCAGGTGAGTGATTGTTAGAATAATAAAATTTCATACCCTGGACCGATAGCTCTAGTAACCGAGGTCAAAAACGCGGAAATCTCAGTCTCCATTTTCACATAGATTATTATAGTTCTTGAAGGGTTAGTCCGGCCGTACACGGACCACATATTTGCAGTTGAGGCAACCACAACATTGTGGCCACGTTGACTGCACTTCGCGGTTGACCCAACCACATTTTTGTGGTTGACTTGCGGTCATATAAACCGCACTTGCAGTTGAGGCAACTGACATTTATATTTTGTAGTGTCAGAGTTAAGTGGATTTTGAAGAAGCACTACTACTACTTCTTATTTTGAGGAGAAGAAGAAGACGTAGGAAGGTACGATCGTTTTGGGTACATCCACTTCTTGTTGCGCGACAACAGGAAGGAAATTTTTATATTTTGTTTGAAGGTGGTTGACAATGTTTCGTGGTGTATTTCATCAGTTCGGACCTCCATTGTCTAATATGATATAAATTGATTTGAAATCCCTGAAAGAATCTGTAAAGAAATTAAAAAGACAAGCTGAAAAAACAATTTTATTAAGCAAAAAACTGAAATTACAATGAAATAACATGCAAGCAACAACGGTACACTCCGGCAAGACGAAAAAAAAAATTTAGTTACTTCAGAATGTCTAGTAGTTCTTTTAACGAATCAATTAGAATTTTGAAATCAAACATTGAACGCTGTGAGACCAATATGAGAAAAAGTACAGGACGGTGTTCGCGGTTGGGTACGACTGCAAGTTTGTGGTTAGTGTACGGCGGATGCCGCGATGACATCTCGGCGGAGTTCAGCAGCAAGTTGACTGCAGACGCCCGTTTTGACTTTTGTGAACGCCTGTGTACGTTGTAGTACAGTATATCTTATGGGCGGCTTGAGTTCGCTGGAACGCGACTGCATTTGTGTTATCGATCCGACCGCAGAATGTGGCTCGTGTACGGGCTCTCTTAGGTATCATTGGTCGCTGGCGGCAAACAAAGATTCATCAACATTATCATTTTTAGATGAAGGCAGATACACATTCACAATGGACCAGAGAATGAAAAGATACATGAATCCACTCCATGACCTCCGATTTTCCATGGAAAGCTTGGAACACGATCCAGTTGTATGCCCAGTTCTAATAATTCTCGGCAACACACAGACTGTTCCTCCCGCCTTATACAAGGGAAATATGGAAGGGCTGAAAAAGCTAGGAAATGTGTCTTTTGAGTTTATGGAAGGTGGTCATGATGCACACAATAAAAATCCAGAAATCATGGCACCTTATATTTGCAAATTTTTATCAACTGAGAAAGGAAAGCTTTGAAATGATGTAGGTGGTTTAACAAATTTTCAAACAAATGGTTTCATAATTTTTTAAAAATTAAATAAAAATAAAGTCTGTGTTTCAGTACCTACACAAGTACTAATCAAAATCATTTCTACGATATTATGATGAAATTTTCTAAAGATATTTTTTCAAGTTTTATATATTATCAATTTAACGAATCCGCAAGAATACATTCATATATAGGATGCTAAAAATGATAAATCAACTTGTGTAAATAATATTTTGGATGTCATAAAAAAACGTTGAAAGACCTTGACGATGAAATTTGCGAATTTTGAAACGTTAACAGGAGAAAGATAGTTTTTTCTGCAGTCAACCAACTCATTTTGTTGTTTAACCAAACCACTGACTATAAAAACACCACAAACAAAGGTAAAATCAATTTATTCGCTATAACGAAAACTTTAAATAAGGACCTTCTAAATTCATCTTTATACATAAAATATCGTCTTCTTCTACCGCCTTAGAACTGAAGAAAAAACACGTTTTTTTATAATGAGTACTGTTTTTGGTAGAGAAGATTATGTCTTCGTAGAACTGTATGTCAAACCACATGTACAGTGCGTTCACCAGGCCTCCTTTTGTCACCTTAACTTTTTTGGTCTTTTCTCCGTTGCCACCTAGCGGGAACTCCACTGGTTCTGAATGCACCGTATGTTCAAATTTTTCAAGACTGGGATGTTCGTAACCCTAAAAAAATCGGTTTAGAAATACAAGCTGTATCCACGATTGGAAAATTTATCATTATTGGAGGTAGGAAATTATTTAAATCGGAACAGTAATAACATTTTTCATACTTGTTGAGATGCAAAAAGCAAAAAAATACTTGAGTAACCTCTTCTTAGGACTTTTTGAATGAAATGCCTTTTTCCTAACGAAAAGCCCTCTGTATTCTTTTGGAATGAAAATTATATTTTACTTTCTCCAAGCAGAAAAAAGTTTTTTGGCTTTCTCCTTCTTCTCTACTTTCTTACAAAAAATGTGGTAAACTTCCAAAGGAAGGAAGAAGGCAATCAAGTCCAAATGCAACTCTTTACAAAGATGTGTAGATCATGCATATAAGTTAACTTCTGTTAGCAACTGGAAGAAAAAGTCCTTCTGAAACAAATACTTTCATAGGAACATTGAATTATACGAAAATAATTTTTTCTTATTCAATTTGCACTGAAAACATTCCTTATGGAATTGAATCAGATATCATCCATAAGAACGCTACACAATATGAAAGAGTTATGATGTAAATTTTCACTTACATGGAACACTATCATTCAATGGCGAACTTCAATGTTTTGGAATAAGACACTTGTCTTATTACCTTATCAGCATTGTTCTGGATAACATTACAAACATTTACATTTTTTAATATGTCATTTCTACCTTTTCTTTTGTATTTTTAGTCACAATATAGTAAAACTGGTTCTTTGACATAGGTTTCGATTATATAAATTGTTTATTTTTGAAATTTTGAAGACTTTGTACCTCCAATAGTGTACACTCAAGTTGAATCAGCCTGTATAGTGTATAGGTTCGAGATGAAATAAAAACATTTCTTACCGAGTACTCATTCATGAATTCCCCAATCCTAAAACCGAGAACGTTCTCATCTAAGACCCTATTGCAGCGATCAATATAAGATGAATAAATCAGCTGAACACTAACTCTCACGCCTTGCGGGAGTTTGATCGTCCTCTGTTTTTTCCCCAACCTGTATGGGGAAGTTTCCAATAAACCGTCGGGGCTGATCACGTCAAAGAAAAACAGACACTTCCGCTGCGAACCAATTAACTCCTCCTCGTCGAGAATCGATAATCTACCTTTCGGTAGGTTATTCTGGGTCATGATGTAATCGAAAAAGATGGCGTCTGTATCGTTTTTGAGGGTGTAATATATTTTGCTGTTGTTGTTTTTGGATAACAGGAATCCAAGTAGCGGTACGATGTTGACGTCAACAACCTACAAAAGATGATTTGAAAATAGTGTGAACATCTAGTTACGTCAAGGTGTTACTATTAAATTGGCATTTTGAAGTTTTTTGGCCATTTGAACTATGCTATCTACTAGAGCATCGTCATTTAGGAAGGTTATGACTTCTTTTGTCACCAAGAAGTGTTTCCGGGGGTCGTGCTTCTTATAGACAAATTTAACATGCAATTTCGAGTTTACAACTGCGAAGACGAATGGAAGTATCTGTCCTGCCTTCACCTGAAAATTAAAGCAATAGATGTAAACATATTCAAAAGAAGCTGTTTAACTTCAATAGTCTATTCCATAAATATCTGCACTTTCTCAAATAAACGAAACGAATAAATACTTGCAACACAACAAATAAGGTAAACATTCATTTGAAAAACAAACGTCTACTATACAAAGCGAAAATAGAAAACACTGTTATGAGATCGGCAGGAAACAAGAGTTATGACTTGAAACTATACAAAACGCAGTCTACACGTAAAACAGACAGACCAGTCACAGACAAATAAAATACACACAAAAAATGAAAGAGTCACAAACATAGGCTCAAAAAAGGAAACCTAGAGGCACAAAGTTTAACCTCATATATCAAGCCAAAGAGTCGGTATAAGTGTTACAAAGTTTTGATGAGAGCTGAATACTTTTTAGGATAGACAACAACCATTTGCAATACAAAAGGATAGCGCAATACAAAAGCAAGCGCAATTAACGAACGCAATTGACAACAACCGAATGCAAAGCGCTAATTACGAATGCATAAAGCAATTCATAAGTAAACCATGATATATAAATGCAAAGCGCGTCATAAGAGCCCAAAACGCAACAAACTCCTTTTGAATAAACCGTCAGCACTCAGGGTTGGTATTTATAGCGCTGACTCATCTTAGTTGGCGCGTACTATACTAGCCTTGCTCAGAATCCCAAAGATATATCTATCATGACTTGAATTTCAGTACACAGTATCAGGATGTTCTGAGAAATCACGCTGAAAACATCTTCGAGCGAATTATGTCACACTCTTAACCCAGCGCCGCGTGATCTCCACGAAGCACTGATTCTGCGAGCGAGACAAGCACGAAACGCCAACAAAAACCAGAGGCCACGTCTGAAAGTAGCTATTCGGCGGCTCCGATAAGTATAACAACATTTGAAACTACACACACGTGCTAAGGACTAAAATTGAAAGTAAAAAACAACAGCTGTACCTCATGGACAACAACCAACAATGACCATACAAAACGGACAACAACCATACGCAATGGACACCAATGGAATGCAACAGACCAATGGATCGCAACAGACATTTGACAGAAGATGATGTATAACGTGATGAAAGAGAACAAACACAGAATAAATCACAATATTCTATTGAAGAAGATCGAAAATTTCGGTTTTACAGAACATTTGGTAAATTGGTTTGGTAGTTTTTTGGCTGGTCGTTCACAACAGCTTAAAATTGGTGGGTGCAAATCGAGTGATATATCAGTAATATCTGGAGTGCCACAAGGATCACATTGTTCACCCCTGTTATTTCAATACTTTTGTTAATGACATAGGATGCTGTTTTGAGAACAGTGAATTTTTAATTTTTGCGGATGACCTGAAGCTTTTAAGACCGATGAAGTCATACAATGACCAAATTCTCCTTCAAGATGATCTAGATACAGTTTATGAATGGTGTGTTACAAATAACTTATTTCTTAATGTAAATAAATGCCATTTTATTACTTTCTCAAGAGTTGGTAGGAAATTCGTCACTGTAATGGGGTTTATCCCGTATAAATAAATAAATCCGGGCGGGTAGGCCGCGGTCGAATATAACCAAACGTTTCGTATGCTACTGCCAGACATCATCAGTGGTATGTGTGTTGACTGCGAGGGCTAAGGTTATATTTTGAAGCCTCAGCAACTACAATGCATAACAACCCAATGTAATGGGTAACAAGCACACGCGAATAACAATACGCAATGGACAACAACGATACGCAATGGACAACAACGATAAGCAACGGACAACAACGATACGCAATGGACAACAACAAAACGCAATGCACAACAGCCGAATATGCACAAAAAAGCACCAGCACTCACCCTGACCGGCCGATCCAAATATATCACGGCCTGTTCCCAGCAGGTGACACGGTCCTCGCTGAGTGGATCAGTCGTGATCGAAATGTTTTCCGTCAGATGCAGATCGAACCAGACTGTGACTGCGTGCAAGACGCCATCCCGCTTGGCCTTGACGTTATAGACCGGACGAAAAGCAGTATCGTTGAGGATGTGGAGTATCTGGCCGATGTCGTAAAAGTCTATGTCCATTATGCAAATCGGCTCCGTCATGTACGTGACGTCGTATTCGGAGAGGTGCTCCGCTTCGTAAGGTTCCGCGTTGTGTTCGGTAATTATCGCGTCGTGGAGGTTTAGCAGATTGATGGAGTTGGTGGAGATGCATTGGTGTTTTTGCATCAATTCGTTGCTGCTGATACCTGAAACATTACTTTATAGTTTTCCATATTATTTTCGTTTCATTTTTTCGTCGCTTGAGACAATAGTTGAATTCATTGGCAATTTTTTTACAAATAAAAATTACATCTTTTCAGGGAGACTGCCAAGTTTCTTACTCCAAAGGCCATATTTCCTTCATTTAATCATTTATATATTCACAAGGGCAGACCCAATTCAGATGTGTAGCCGACACAATATTATAAGAATAATAGAGTTTCAAAACAGTAAGACAACAGGAGACTTTTTCTTCCAGTTTGTGTCTGAAAGTTACTCCTTTGTATGATCTACACATCTTTGTAGTTTTTTTTACCGATTGCCTCCTTCCTTTCTCTGGAAGATTCCCACATTTTTTTGTATCAAGATGGAGAACTAGAAAGGCAAAAACTTTCTTTCTCAAAAATTAACCTCTCCTAGAAATATAAGCCTTTTCTCTTATGTTAGCTGTTTGGTTTACGCCTTCATAAAAGGTTTTTCAATCTTGAATTGGGTTATTCGTTTGTAGATTTCACATTCTTTATTTAAAGCCAGTTTCAGTGAACTGGAGGTTGTAAAATACAGTGACTGCATATTCATATATGCTGCTAATTCATATATATGTAGTTCATATTCTTTCAGGCTGATATGACTTCCGTTAATACTGGTTCTTCTTTGGTAGGTTTCACGAAAGAAATGAAGTATCCTTTTATATATA